CACTGAAAGACTTCAATGTACGCACATAGTCATTTTGTAACATTATTTGCATAAATTAAGGAAAACTATTTTTCGTTTAATTATTTTTTGTATGATTATTAGATTACGATTCTAAAATAATACAACTTCATGAGAATATTAACAATGAACGTCTGAATTGCTTGCATGAAAGTTCTTTCGTTATACTATATACAACCAAAACTCGGTATAATGAATCCTTTTGTAATGAATCCATGCATATAATAAATGAACTTCTTGGTCCCGCCCAGTTTCCTAGACAATGTTATTTTACATAGCTGTAACGAACCTTCAAATGTATGCAAATCGGATATGAAGAGCTTTATGGACGTCTTCGATTCGAACATTCCTTTTGTATTTTTCATACAGTTTTCCAGAACTCCTACAAGGTAAAGCTGAAAAATTGTTTAAAATTAATGTGCAGAATGTTAGGAACCACATTTCAATCCTGTAGGTATAGTCCAAATAAATACGTTTACATTACTGTGTGTTTTTTATCTTCGCCTTCAAATATTTTCTGTGTTCTAAATATAAGATATGCAAAGCAAGCGTAACGTCAGTTTTTGGTTAATCAAGACACACAAAAGCACATCTTGGGATACATATGATATCCGTAATCATTGAATTTAAAGATTTTGAATGGATTCTCTGATTTAATTTAAGTTCTTGGTTTGAGCTATTATTATAGCAAAGCTGTATTGTTTGAGCTACATTCAACACTGAATCAAATCATTTAAAACTAGGGTTCCCGAACTCATGTCCGCAAGCACCACTGCATCTGCCGATGGTTTTACGTGCATCCGCTGCTATGCGACCATGATAAAAATGCTCAATAAAATACTATTTAATTATTTTATAGTTAATAATTGAACCCTTTTTAAAAAAAATATTTGTTTATAACTGATCTTTATAATTTGAATGTGCTTATCAGACGTCCCTTTTTGACCGGGATTGTTCCTGTGTGAAAATATGATCCTGGCGCGCTAGCCATTTTTTTTTTTTTTTTTTTTTTTTTTTTTTTTTTGTCCTGGTTATTTGTTACAAATTTAAATATACTAAATATACACTCGTTAAAAATATTTTTAATGTTCCATTACACTACTGTATGCCCTTGCTCGTAGATGGCGCCATACGTAGAGCGTACTTATTATGTGTTCTGCACTGTGCTGCCCTTTACGAAGGGCAATCTCCATGTAATAGGTATTCCCTTAAGGGCCATGTTACATTTGTTGTTAGTTATGTGCTCATATTTTTAGTGCACGTGTCTCTTACTTTATTGCTGATATCTTTTACTTCATTGTTTGTATTAACTTTGTTATTTTAATCTCAAAACCAGTGATTCAAATAAAAGACAAAGAACCTAAAATTTTAATACTGATCGGGAAGAATAATATTGGGTTGTCAACTTTAAAGATAAATGTATTTGTTTATTGTGCAGTAGCATTGCAGTGCTGAAAAAGAATATAATGCCGAAGTAACTTTCATTCAATTCATGCCACTTTTAATATGACGTATCCAATTATATCTGAAGCAGTAAAGAAGAAATATATCAGCTGAAATCAAACGTAATTGCCCAAGAGACAATTTTCATTAAGCATGGAGTAAAATGAAGAGATGTCACTATCGCTTCTTTTAAAATTTCTCACATACTCGAAAAGAAGAAAAATCCTTTCCAGAATTGTGAATTGTTAAAGAAAGCATTTTAACTAGTTCCGATTGCTTATTTGAGCAATTTTCTAAGAAACACGAGACTATGTGTCAGCTATACAAGGCTTGCAGTTGTCAAATAACATCGGAACAAGAATACATGCCATTTTAAAATACGGTGCTAAATCAGATAATGTGCGACTTGAAAATATGTGATTGGCGAATGTACAGTTAATATCAATCACAGCATAGATAGAAATTATAATGATAATAGTATTTAGTAATTTTATCGTAAAAAAAAAAGCCAACTGAGAATAGTATCCATGAAAGGACGAATATGAAGTGAGGATATCACGAACAGAAGTGAGGATATCTACAACATATTTACAGCATATACTAATTATCATTTTCACAAGCTATCGACTATAACCATTGATGGGGTACGAGCAATAGTTGATAATATTAAAAGATTTATTGCCCTTTGCAAGAAAGCTAACTCATTTCCAAACTTTATGTAGGATCACTGTACCATCTTTTAGGGAGTTTTCTGCAGTTGAATATCGCCTTCGGACGTGTCATAAAAATAGTTAAAAAAATAGCGAACTTTATTTGAGCATCGCCTTTGCAACACCGCCTTTTCAAGATTTCCTGAAAAATCCTGAAGATTCTGATCTCATTTTAGACACTGAAGTATGTTGGCTCAGTAAAGGCAAAAATCTTATCTTTACTACATTCGTAAATTTAATGGAAGAAATAAAAAAATTATCTCAGTAACAAAAATCAAAATTTTCCTCAAATAAAGGACTTTCGCTGGCTGGTGGATTTGTATTTCCTCACAATTCCTTCCTAAGAAATTGAATTATTTAAAACTTGGAGCTGCAAGAAAAAGACAAATATGTAGCTTTGGTCATACAGTCTGTTAAGTAGTTTATAGCTAAACTGGTTTTATGGATATCACATATGCAGATAAAATCCCCACTGTATTATCCAAATAATAATAATAATAAAAAAAATGATAGAAAAAGCTGAATTTGATTTGTACTCATTTCTGAACAAACTTCAGTTATTTCAAAACCAGTTTGAAAAACGATTTCAATAGTAAAGCCAACGGTCATCTTTCTCATCAATCATTTTACTTGTTAAGTAAATGTAATAAAAATAGTTGCATAGAATTCAGAGTTTATTCAAGGACAAACTGGATTTAAGGAAGAAATTTTAGATTTTCAAAATGACATTTTTATAAAATGCAATGTATCATATGAGAACTTCTGAAATACAGTTTTTGCAATATAATTAGTTTTATATAATTCCCGTCCATTTTGCAGAAACATTATCTTACTTCTTGTAAATTTACATCTTATATACTACGTCATTCCAAAATAAGCTTGTGCTCAACCGGTATTGTTGTTAGGGTCGCTGACTGCCATACCGGTTCGAATCCCGGAGTAGGAATGGATGTTTGGAAATGTATAGTGTCCATGCGACATGGGGGCAGTCTAAATATGGGGCGAGATCTCGAGAGGTTGTGGTAGGGAAAGAGGGGAAAGGGTTGTGGTAGGGAAAGAGGTTGTGGTAGGAGACCATCAAAATTGGGGTCGATGCTGAGCTAAATCTCCCTGTCAACTATATGGTGCTCAAGGCTGTTGCCAACGACAAGCGTATCCTGCGCTCCTTGCGACGAGGAATTTCATGAGCTTGGTGTGTCTGTAGGGCGGACAAGTGAGCATTAGTTAACAACAAGAACAACAAAATAAGCTTCAAATGTGAAGCGTAATGACACTTCCTACTGAATAATCTTACTTACCTAGGTATGAAGAATTTTTTATATTTCCAAACTTTTACTTCATATCTTCATATCCTGTATTTATTCCATTTGTCTTCTAATTACTCATACGAAAAATTGCAATTATGAGAAATGTTTGGAATACTGAAATTCATATGTTTTTTGAATATTGAGAACAAATCCGGCATTCTGTCGTAATTGACTAAAATATTCCGAATAATAAAGTTCTAAGAAAACAGCGGTTTTTCTCGCGTGAATAAAATAAATATTTATTTTGCCAAACACTCAAGAAATTTATCACAGATGTCTACATAAAGGATCTACAAATATATCTTTAAGTATTTAAATAACTCATAAACTGCACATAAGCAGAATTTATTGACATGTGCCAATAACAAAGATTACATAGCTTCTAAGTGTCTAAAAGACTACTGAAAGCACACTCTGAAAACGTTTGCGAAAAGACAATGACATCGAAATACGTAACTTTTGTGGCACATGAAATTATTTAAAAATTTACTTTCGAAATGTTTCACGAAATTCAGATATCGTTATATTTTTGCAAAGGTTTTCAGTGCGCCCTTGGTAGACCTTTAGACACTTCGAAACTATTTTATCTTTGCTGTTGGTATATGTTAATGAATTCTCGATATTTTTCTGCTAATCTTAGGCTTATGAGTTATTTAAATACTTAAAAGTATATCTGCAGATCGTTTACGTTGATATCTGTGATATATTTCTTAAGTGTTTGGGAAAATAAGTATTTATGTTAATCACGCGAATATAACTGATGTTTTCTTAAAATTTTATTATTCGGAGTATCAGTCAATTACAACAAAATGCCGGATTTATTCTCGTTATTCAACTCACACGTGAACTTCAATATTCCAAATTTTTGACTTAATTATAATTTCTCCTATCAATAAATAGAAGACGAATGGAATGAATGCAAGATACGCATACATGAGGTAAAAATTTTGAAGTAGAAAACGTTCTGCAGATCTAGGTATAAGTAAGGTTTTTCACAAGGGTTTGTAAATATTCTTCAGATTCGAAGTTTATTTTTGAGTGACATAGCAAATAAGAAGTAAATGTATAGGTACAGAAATAGTGATGGACAACTATTCTGCAAAATCTGAACGGTAATTATACAAAACTGATTATATTGCAATTCTCTATAAAGCGGTTAAAGCAAAGGAAATATGCCGGCAGTCTCCTCACATTCTTATGTGGGCATTTTATCTTCGCTCTTGCGTAGAATTTACAGTTTTAACTAAAAACCTTTTGTATTACCTAAGATCCAGGTACTTATTTAGTTTCAAGGTGCTTGCAAGTTTTTACTTACTTAGGGCTGAATTAAGGCTCTTCTAGATCTGCCTTAGGCTGAATCACGGAGTATAATGATATTATACTTTATACTCCGTGGGCTGAATGAAAGGGAAAGTGAAATCCTGAGTTTGCCATTACTATTTACTAAATTACAATTTTATTTAACTTCATGGCTGTACAGTACAACCAAAGAATGTTTGGTACAACAGTGACTTTGTTCAAATTCTTCACCTAATGGCAACACGCTGTTACCGGTGTATGTTGTGATTGTTAAATCAAGATGTCTGCTCCTTTAGATGGTAATCCGCACGTGTTTTTGGATGTCAAAATAGGTGAAGAAAGAGGTAATTTTATGAATTTAATTTTATATATGTACGTTAGGTGCACAGGTGCTCTCTTTTTACTGTAGACGTATATGTTCTCAGCTTATTTTTTTGGGGGGGGGAATGTGGGATGTGATTTAATAATAGTGAATATTAGAATTTTTTTCTTTTGTTTTAGAATTTAGACTACTGTTTAAACCGACTGAGATTTGGCTTGAAATGTTTCAGCTCAAGTGATTTTTTAATGCCGTATCTGATGGCGAAGAATAAATAACGTAGGAACTTCGTATCTTTTTAAAGCTGTAACTTTTAGTTGATTGCATAGCATCGTTTCAATATTTTCTGTAGTTTTTGAGAAATAATTATTGTCAATCAGAAACTTTTAATCATCCTATGAGGTAATATTAGTGTTTAAATTCATTTACCTCCTGTGAAAATGTCGACAGAGCTTTATATATTTGTGATTTTGTGTATAGATTTGTTCCCCCCCCCCCCCGAAAAAAAAGAAGACTGCAATTTTAAGGTTTGATCCTAGTATCCGGTGCACACGGGATTTGGCTACTTTTGGCGATCCATTATAATTACATCAACATCTAGGAATAGGCTGATGATGGCAATTGCAATCTAAGCTTATAAGCTGAAATTCAAATGTGACTTTACTGTTGCAGTAATTGTGTAAACTAGCAGTATATGGATAAGCTGTCCCAAATTTATTTATCTCTAAATAAATAATAGCAAAAGTTATCGGTTAATCTTCGGATTATGGTAACTTGGCAATTTTTTGGCGACCAACCCTGCTACAGCAACCTGCTAGTTTTTTTTTTTTGGATGCCATTTTGTTTTCACAAACTAAAGGCATTTTTTTTTTTTTTTTTTTTTTTTTTTTTACTCAAAATTTTTTTCCAACAATCTGCTAGCCGAATTACGCTTGTACTTGAACTTTTATGGAACAAAAGTGCTTAATCATGATGAAGATTAGGTGTGAAATTGGGAGAAAGTGCAGAATCGCCAACTGCTTGCCGCGTTTTTAAGAATTTCACATACACGGTCTCATCCATGTACACTTCGACCTATTTTCACTTAAAAAAACATCACAGAATTGCACAAAAATGGCATTGCTCACACTTTTGACTTTATTCATGTACACTGCTAAAGTCCTAGTTAGTAACCTTTATCGCCTTACCAAAATGTTGCCAAACTACCTGTTACCATATTCCAAAGATTAGCCAAGTTATCTTGAAAGAAAAATCAATTTTCCAGCTGTCACAAATCGGGCCTTTTTTGTTACACATTGTTATGCAATCTTTCAGTAGCTCCATATAGAAAGCTTGATTAACAATCTGACCTGGTGGAATGAAATCCAAATGCATTATTTCTCTTCACATCAAGAAAACAAATTGATGCTAACCTTCACTTGATTTACTTTCTTTGGATGAGGTGACAATGGCATATTCCAATGGCTTGATTGATGTTTAGTTTTAATGTCATAAAAATAACATCATGTCTTGTCACCAGTCAGCCAGAAATGACCATAGAATGAAAGTCTGGGTTCCTTAGGAGCTGTTCTTTTAAAGCACGGCATGTTTCCACTTGGTGATCTTTTTACTGGTTTGTCAAAATTTAAGACTCAAATTTCTCAGCAACATTTCTGATTCTTAAATCTTCTGTCAAAATTCGCTGAAGAAAGCTCCAGAATAGTTCAGATAAGCTCCTCTGCTCATCAGTGATCCATCGTCAGTCTTCTAGCACAAATACATGCTTTATTTGGCATTTTTGACTGTTTATGAAGTTGACAAATGTTCTGAATGAGATTTGTCATGAATAGGCATTCCTCCTGTTTTGAACCAAGAAAACATCTTGTATACTTGAGTTTTCCTTGTAGCATTGTTTCAATAAGCAGTGTTTAAAATTTCCAACAGCTTCTGCAGCATTTTTTTCTGAATTTCATTGCTGCTTGCTGTTCACTTTAATCCGCTATTGCAAAACAAGAGCAATTGAAACTGCTTTTATGAAGGAAAAAAAGGTAAAAATATATTTACGGGTGCCCTTGATGATTTTTGGCAGTACATGGACACCGAGTTTGCGCAGTTTTTTTACCGCCACTACGCAAAGCCAAAATAACAAGTCAAAGAATTGCACAAACTCTGCATCCATGTACATATTGACCTATTTTTACTTAAAAAAGAATCGGAGAATTGCACAAACTCAGCATTGCGCACTCCCTTGACTTTGTCCATGTACACATCAATCTGGTTTCATTTAAAAAGTCAAAGGAGCAGCCAGTTCTCTACCCCAGAGCCAAACAAAAAATATATAACCTCAATAAACTACATTTTAAATCCAACAATGAAATAACATAAAAAAGGAAATTCATTTTGGCACTACACAAAGGAAATATTAACTTACTTTATTTAGAAATTTTCTTGTCTTCAGTTAAACAACATTCCTTAACAGCATTCAAAAACTTCCCAAAATTATCTGAACTAGAATCTATATATTGGCATTGCCACATAAATTCACAAAATATTTTTGTTGGCTGCTCCTTTGACTTTTTAAGTGAAAACGGATCAATATGTACAGTTTGTGCAATTCTTTGATTTTTTTTTTAAGTGAAAATAGGTTGATGTGTAGATGGATACGGAGTTTGTGCAGCTCTTTGACATATTATTTTGGCTTTATGTAGTGGCGATTTTTGGCACAAGAAGCCAAAAAGTTTAACTACACAAAGCCAAAATAACAAGTCAAAGAATTGCACAAACTCGGTATCCATGTACTGCCAAAAATCATCAATTTTTGCCAAGGGGCACTTGTAAATATACTTTTACCTAAAGTAGATTGATTCCAGCCAATTTCCGCGATCATTGAAGAAACTTACCAATCCTGCTGAGAATACAATTAAAATCTTATATTTATTGGGCAGAGTGGATTAGTTCCGGTCGACCAACATTTACAAAGGGAGGCAACATTAAAAAGCCCGATATTACATTAATTGCTCAGTGGGTTAAAGATGCTTGGAATGAAATACCCTCTGAAATGATTATAAAATCATTTAAAAAATGTTGTATTAGCAACGAACTAGACGGCACGGAAGATGATGCTGTTTTTGAAAGTGAAAATGACGGCGAAGGCTCTAGTAGTGATTATAACAATACAGAGTTCGAGACTGAAAATATGTATGATGATGAGCCAATGACGACAGAAGAGTTCTATGAAATGTTTAGTGAATCTGACCATGAATCGGACGTTGAAGGATTTTGATTTTCTTTATTTACTAAGGTATTTTTTATCGTATATTTACTTTTTTTCTCAGATGATTTTGAATAAATGTAGTACTTAAAAAAAAATTTTCGAAGTTTCACGATCGATTTCAAAAGAGGGGGTCGACTTATACGCTGGTTTCTTATTTTCTACGAATTTTTTATGTCGAAGTGGGGGGATCGACTTATACGCGGGTATATACAGTAATTTATTGTAATATAGTTTAATTGTGAATATGCCTTATATTTCTGTGTGTAAGCTAAGAATGTTTGGAATAAATTACTGCGCTCAACCTTATATTTAGATCCGCTAATCTTGCAAAAAGTGTAGGCACTTTTTCGTTAAACAGGTGCGAGTGCTAAATTTCGAAATATTGCACTTTCATATTTCTTTAGTTGTATTTATGAAAAGTATTATTTTATTTTGAAATTGTTTGCAATGCAATTTTGTTGCGACATTGTTAAAACAAAAGAAACTGATGTTAGCAAAATTTGCACTCTCCTTTCTCCATTCTCTAACTCATTTTTCATTTATGGAGAAATGCCGAGCTGCCATTTTGTTATTAGGATTTACAGCAAAAGTAGCGTCTGTAATTTGAAATTTCCCATATAAAAATTTCTTTTCTGTTCACCTTTCAGACAGAATTAAAATAGGACAGCAAATAAGACTAGCGTAGATCGTATAGAGCAGAGGAATGGAATAAGTGTGCTGGCTTCAGATAGGGTTACCAGAGTTAAAAATATTGTCTTCGGAGTCTGACATTTTACTTTACACCGTTTTGGAGAATACTATTCCACTGGTTTTACCTGCTTAGCAACATTTCATTGTTAAGGTGACATGTTTGAATTGTGCAGGGTATTTTTTTCATTCCAGCTTATACATGGGTTTTGAATTTTGGGTAATTTTTTTTTTTTTTTTGGAAAAAAGCACTCCCATCTTATATTAAAAAATATATAGCATGTCTAAAATATGAAGGGAAAAATTGAGAACACATGAAAGGATGCATCTGATTTCCTAAAAGGGGGAAAAAAATTTTAAAAAATTTTAGCCAAAAAAAAATTGTTATCAGTTACAAAATTCTTGAATGATGTGCTGTTCATGACTGCAGTCATAATATTAGCTAAGATTTTTTTTTTTTTTATCATTTTCTGTAATTTGAAAAGATTTCCCAATTTCCCATTTTTTAAAAAATACGTATTATAAAAGTATTTTATTTGTTTTGGCATATTTTAATTGATAATTTTTCATTCTTGCATTAGGTTAATATTTAAGCAATGTGTTTTTGATACATTTATATCACTTTGAAATTAAAGATGGGCATTTCATTTACCTTTCTTTTTCTTTCTTTCTTTCTTTCTTTTTTTTTTTTTTTTTTCTTTTTTTTTTTTTTTTTAAGTTTATACTACTAGGAGATCCAGAAGTAACAGAAAAAGTAAAAATTCAGCAATTCAAGAAGTATAGATGTGGTTTTTGTATAAGTGCACAGAAAGACATGACAGTTTTTTAATAGCAAAAAAGACTACTTCCAAAAAAAATTTTCATTTGAAGTCGTAAATGCATAGCTGTCAGCTTACCTCATTGATCATTTAAAAAAAGTTATTTGCCATCATATGAGAGGAATTACAGTTGAAAGATATTTGATGCTGTGCAAAGTTACATGCAACACTCAAGTGTTATTCTCATGAATGACAATTATCACATTGGGCATTATAATCCTTGCTGCATTGCAATCTAGGTGTGCCATTAAACAAGCTTCTGATATAGTGAAGCACCACATGCCAAAAATGGAACTATTCTGGCAATAAAATCTTTCATTATGAGAAAAAAGTCCCATGCCTTTCTATGAGAACTACATAATGTTTCTCTTTACTTTTCAAATTACTGAATTGTTACACATTCAATATGTTGGAAATAACATCATGATTTAAAAACAAATATTAAAGAAATGCATAAGCCTGTGGTTTTTTTTTAATGAATCGTGAATGTAAATAAATATTAATTAAATGCACATAAGCTGATTGAAATTTTTTTTTAGATTCTCATATTCAATTTATTAAAAAATTGCACATCGTGCGTTGACACCATTTGGAGGCATCCATGATGCAAATGATGCCTTTTAACATGCTGTGATCCTATCACACATGCATTTGGCGGGATCCGATGATATCCCATGCACTCCCGGCACTGCATGCTCTATAGAGGCATACACAGTAATCTTTCTTTTCAAATGGCATAGTCATTACAACAATGGCACTTTTATTTGAACGATTCTTATATTGCAAAAATTCGGGAAGCTGTTTAGATACAAGAATGCTGAAAATACCATCTACTGAAGCTCCAGCTGTTAGCTTGGTTATTGCTAGAAACTTCTATCAGGATTTATATTTTATGCTGCTGTTTCTAATGGCAGTGAAGGTTTTTAACGTAGAATAGCTCCATTATGTAGATGGAAATTTACTTCTGTACCTTTATGTAGCACATATTGGGAAACTCAGATTTTCTATGTTGTCAAAACTGAACTCAGAAAATATATTTTGAATTATCATAATATCAGAGTTACAAAACAGTATATTAAATACAGAAAATCTAAAATGGAGCTAATTTACCTGTACTCCATAGCAGGTAGTTTAGCTCCATTTTACATTTTCATATCATATGATTAAATTTTTTACACAATTGTCAATATACAAAAGCCTTTTTTTATATAAATATAATAATATTTAAAAGATGTTGATCATCCGTATGGTATTACCCTCTGAGCGCCATGACCGCTTTTATCCTGCCTAGAGATTTTTTGTCACTTGGCATATATTAGCTTATATTTTAAGATATTTTGCATTCTTACTTTCTTTGATGTTATCTTAATGAATGTAAGTTTATGCAAAAAAAGTCAGAGAACTGTGCAAACTCATCATTGTGCATTTTTTATTCTTCCCTTCTAGACAGCAATCTGTTTTCATTACAAAAAATATCAAGGAATATCACAAATTTGGCATTCCATATGAATTTGACATTGCACACACTGTTATTCTCCCCAAACAGCAATCTGTTTTCTGGAAAAAGAAAAAAAAATCAGATTTGTGCAAATTTGCTATCGCAAACAAACTTGGTATTATGCTTCAGTCATAGTAAATGCACATTTCTTGGAGGTGATTATAAATCACAAAACTTCACTGATGTACATTCATTTGTCAAAAATAAATGAAGCAACTAGCTATTTTAAAGAGATACGGTAATCTTCAAATCAATTTCTAATCCATATTCTAACACTTTGCTTACAATTTTTTACATTACATTTCCATAAAATTCTGTCGTTTTAAAAGTACAGTTTAATGGAATGTGAGTTTTGCGCTCTCTTCTTTATATGCTTCATATAAAGAAGGCCTATTACATGCCAAGGTTGTCTCTCCAAGTGTCTTCCACCTGATGCCATTTGATGCAATAACCTTTCATTGGTTAACTCCAATTAACCTTAAATCCTCCTCGACATCATCTATCCATCTAGTGGGTAGTCTTCATCTTACTCCCTCAGTTCTCGCAAAGGTTATCTTTTTGGTTGGAAGTGCATCATTATATATAGACATGACCCAGCCATTTAATACGAGATGCCTTTACGATTTTCACAATATCAGTTTCACCATATTTCTTGTATTTTCCATATAGTTCATGATTATGGAGAATCCTCCACATGCCATTTTGTTGTACCGGGCCAAAGATCGTAGGAATTTTTCTTTCAAAAGTTGATATTGGTTCTTTCTCTGCTTTGTTAAGTATCCGACATTTTCTTCCGTAAAGGGCAACAGGCCTTATCAAAGTTTTATATAAATTTAATTTAGTTTTTATGTTGATTAGTTTAGATTTAAGTTGTTTTCTAAACCCATAGTAACATCTATTAGCCATAAATATTCTGTTTTTTTATTTCAATTTTTATATCATTGCAACTTGTGATCAATGTGCCTAGCTATTTAAATTGTTTTACGGTTTCAGAGGTGTGATTGTTTATCTTCAAGGGGGGATAACTCAACAGTTTTATTAAATGCAATCATAAGTTTAGTTTTTGTCTTCATTAATGATTAGGCCCATCTTCCTTGCTGCATTTTCAAGAGAGACAAATGCTTCGACTACAGCTTGTTTTGATTACCCTCCGATATCAATATTATCAGCAAAAGCTAGCAGTTGAATGATTCTGTGCAAGATGGTTTCACTTGTGCTTATTCCAGAGTGTCTTATGGCCTTTTCTAGATCTATATTTAACAACAGGCAAGATAGTGAATCTCTCTGTCTTAATCCTTTCTCAGTATAAAATTGTTCTGAAAGATATGTTGAAATTTTTATTCAACATATCACTTTTTTAAGAGTCATCCTTGTGAGGCTTGTGAGTTTCTTCAGGTTATTAAATTCCAACATCACTTCAAGTAGTATTTCTCTGTTAATACTGTCATAGGCAATTTTAAAGTCAATGAACAGGTGGTAGGTGTTGATGTTATATTTAGTTCTTTTTAAGATTTGTCTAATGGAATGCTATTAATCAGTTGTTGTTTTTCCCTTCTGGAATCCACACTGGTAATTCCCAGTAATGTTAGAAGTATATGTCAGCAATTGTTTATACAAGGTAATGGAGAAGATTTTATATGCTTCAGTAAGGTAATTCATCTGTAATTGCAACATTCTAGCTTGTCGCCTTTTTTATAAATAGGACAAAAAAATCCTTATTCAGTGGGCATTTGTTCCTGTGTCCATATACAACAAATTAGATAATGGATTACTTTATTTAAATTTGTTTCATTGATATTTAAAACCTCCGCCTTGATGCCATACAGTCCAGCTGATTTATTATTATTTAACTTTTTGACTGCCAGTTCAACATCATATAGCGTTAGTGGATTATGTTCTATAACCTCGTGTTCACAGCTCATAGTGGTTAGCATGTTATAAGCAGTTATTTCCTGTTCTCTATCTCTACCCAAAAGCAGACTCTTAAAATACTCACGGCAGCAAACCAGAACCTAATCCATGTCTCCAATTTTTGTTCTTTGTGATTTCTCCAATTTTTGTTCCCTACAAGTTCCAAGATTAAAATCAGCTCTGATATTATTTATCTTCTGATGAAATTTCCTAGCTTCTTTTTATGGTTTCAGATTTTCAATATATCTGTAAACTTGATCCAGGTACGATTGCTTTTTTTTGCATTATCTGCTGTTAGACAAAATGCTGAATTTCTGAAGAAATGCAATGCTTTCTTTTTCATCAACCAACAAACACCACATTTCCATTATAATTGTTAAAATAATAATAATAATAATAATAATAATACTCAATGCAAAAACGAATGCTAATCAGAAAAATGAGCATCAAATTTGGAAAGTGGAAATCCGTATGTTCATCAAATTTGGAAAGAGCATATCCGCTGTGTGCAGAGGCATACCTAGCTTGTCACGTAATTGCATATTGTGACATCATGGGTTACAAAATGACTATTTTTTGACAGTGCATTACTTCTTGAATACTTTTTTGGGGTAGGATTTCAGATAATCAGAAAGACCCATATTTTAAAAAAAAATAATTTTAGTTTAATGTAAAGTGCACATTATTTGCAATAATATCTAATTGTTCATTTTTTGTATATAGTTGGCCGAATTGTTGTAGAATTATTTAAGGATCTTGTTCCCAAGACTGCTGAAAATTTCCGAGCACTATGCACTGGCGAGAAAGGTGTAGGAAGATTTGGGAGGCCTTTACATTACAAAGGTGCTCCTTTTCACCGACGTAAGTTTATTTTTTTGCTTCTTATGCATGGAAGTATATTTTTACATTTATAAAAGCTATCAATTTATGTAAAGAATCTATAAGGTGATTCTGCAATTTTCTATAATAACTGTGAAATTTTCTGTTTTAAAACTGCTTTTCATTTAAAAATTTTGCAGAATGAACAGCATTTTAGGTGAGGTAAAAGTGCTAAAACTTATAGTAACATTAATGAAAAATATATTTTATGAAATGCCTTTGCTTTTCTAATTCTTAATCTATTTGAATATCTTACCATATTTCTTATAGAATATTATTAATGCTTTCCCTCCCCAAAAATACACTAGTTATGAGTTCTGATCAAAATGCATGCAAATTTGTGACATTTTCTGTTGTAATACTGTGGAAGTACATTTGTAGGTACAGTAATTTACTCATCAGTTAAAATTTGGAAAGTTTTACAATATTAATTGTACACTGCACAAATTTAAATGGGACAGTTCTATATATCCCGTTCTACTGGGCCGATTGACAAAATTCAACTTTTGTTTTTCATGTCTTGAAAACGTGACTTAGGATATGTAATTGATTTATATATAGCATTGTTCTAATAAAGGTATGTTGGCACAAAATCGGACTTTTTCTGAAATAACATACCAATTTTTTTTCCATATTTCAATTCTACAACTCAGATTAAGCCAAACTACCAAGTTTTGTAAAATCCGCACTAGTAGTTTTTAAAAAATTAGCTCTCAAAATTTAGCTCCTCAATATTAATTGAGTTTGGTATTTATTTATTAATCTCTCTTTTTGTATTAAACTCATTTGATTCTTCCTTTCACATTTTGAAATTCGGATTCATTCCAAATAAAATTCACCCTTTTTTTATGATTTATTTTTAAATAATTTTTACTATCATCTTAAAGTAGACTTATTTCTAAGCATACCTGCAAAAAATTACAATTTTTTATTCAAAATTCCGAAAATATACATGAATTTATATATATAGGCGCGTTTTGAAATTTGACATGTTTGTTGAAAGCGATAAAACATCAAATGTGGTTTAGACACTTTAGTAAAATTATTTGAACATAAGAACGATATGCCTTTTTTTCTGCTCATGCACAATGTAAAAAGGTAGGAACAAGGTGCCTTTTTTTCCACTCCCGCATAATGGAAGGGAAAGGAAAATTGGTTGCCATATATTAAGAAGTGCACCAAATGAATTATTCTTAGCACAAACTAAAAAAAACATTGTGGCAACATAAATTTTTGAATTTCTCCATAAATTTTGCACCAAATTTTACAAAATTTAATATCTAGGTATAATTTGAGTCATAGAATCGCAATATGGAAAATTTGGTATGTTATTTCAGATAAACTCTGATTTTTGTGTCAAAATAGCTGTGTTAGAACAATGCTATATATAAATCTAATATGTATCCTAAGTTGCACTTAGGATACATATTAGATTATATTAGATTAGATTCGAGACATGAAAAACGCAATTTGAACTTTGTCAATCGGCCCAGTAGAACAGGAAATAAAGAACTGTCTCTTTTTTTGGGGGGGTTGCAGTGTACAGTGGGTAACTAAAGTATTTTATTCCTTAATACAGTCAAAAGTCGTTAATTCGGACACCCATAATCCGGAATGATCTATAATCCGGACCTCAAAGCTAAATCTTTCTGCGCATGCGCCGCGTTGACGCATGCTCATAGGCGTTTTACGCGTGCGCGTAAGACATTTACGTATGCGCAAGCGTAGAATACATTTTCACGTGCGCATTTAATGTATAACGGACGGTATAAGCTAAAATTATCTAATTATCTATTTCAGTTAATGTTGCAGATTGCGTTGTTCCTTAATCTTCGAATTGGATCCGGCTTATTATTTTTTGCAGACTGTTAGAGCAATTTTATAAAAGTAAGCTTGAACTTTCGATTATGTCAAATAGAATTTCCGATGCTGGAGCTCCCAAAGGATCTACAAAGCGAAAGTATGTTTCGATGTCCATCAAACAAAAAGTGGAATTGCTGCAAAAAATGGATAAAGGCATATCCTTTGTTTCTCTAACCATTCCGAAATCTGTTTATCAATTTCACGCTGCTCTGCAGGGGGGGGGAACGTCGCGGCGCGCAATGAACTGGAAGTTGATCTGTCAGCACTATCCTTATCTTCAGGGCAGATGTTTTTATTTTATTCCGCTTATAATTCCTTACTAAATGTATTATTTCATCTCGATGTAGTCCATCTTTGATATGATTTAAATAAAATTCCTTGTCATTATAAATATAACGAATACACATCAAATAGTTTTCTGGTTGCAATTTTCTAATTTCGACTATGCGTAATGTATGTTTTATGCATACGCATGTTGAAAGAAATGTTTAATAAAGTAAACAAATAAATATTAAGATTTTTTTTTGTAAATTTTGATACCCTTTAGATCATAATTGCTCTTTATTTCATAAATTACAGGTTCATATTTTTAATTTTATAATTTCTGCATGCCATCTTACCAGATTTAAACTGATGATCTATAATCCGGAAAAACCAATAATCCAGAATCACCGAAGTCCCGGTGAGTCCAGATTAAAGACTTTTGACTGTACTGTGACGAATAAAAATGAAATCAATTGATTACTAGAAAGCGGATGCACAGACCACATTATAAACAGTGATGAATATTTCAAAGAGCAAGTCACTTTGAAGGATCCTATTCAAGTGAAAGTCAGTGATGGAAGGATTTTGAAAGCTACAAAGGTTGGCAATATAATAGTTTCTTTTCTTGTATATAACTGAATCTATTGTAACATTGAAGAACGTATTTTATGTAAAAGAAATGAAAGCAAATATATTAAGTTATTCGAAGATTACTGATAATCATAAAATAGCTTCAAAAGAAAAGTTCTCTAAAATTTATGATGTCAATGGTTCATTAGTAGCAATAGCGAAGAAAGAAGAAAGATTAGATAAAGAGTTATATTAAAAATAGTAAAATATTTGCAAATTTGACCAACAGTAAGTTAACATTAAAGAAAAATTGCTCCGTTCACTTGGACATGTAAATTTTAAATATCTGGATATTATGTGCGAAGGTCAACTATTAGAAGGAATTCCTAAAGAAATAGAAACGGAATATATGAAGTGTGTCGTATGTATTGTAAATAAAATGCACAATTTATCATTCAAGAATAATAGAAGAAAAGCAGAAGATATTCTGGAGTTAATACATACAGACATAAATTGACCTCACAGAACAAGAGGATGTAATGGTGAGAAATACTTTGTGAGTTTTATTGATGATTATAGCAAGTTGGCAAAAGTTTATTGTATTGTATCAAATCTAAGGATCAAGTCTCTGATTGCTTAATTAAATATGCAAATGAAATTCAAAATTTAACAGGGAAGATGATCAAAGAACTAAAATGTGATAATGGGAGTGAATATATGAATAGCAAGATATACAAATTTGCAAGAGAAAAAGGTATTATCATAAAGTCATGCCCGCCATATATACATTAATTAAACGGTACTGTTGAGCGTTACAACAGAACTGTAATGGATATGGCAAGATGTCTTTTAGCTGAAGCAAAGTTGACAGACGCTACTGGCCAGAAGTGATTAAAGCTGCTCCTTATTTGAAGAACAAGACATTAATAAATACTGTTGTAAAGAAGACACATTATGAAATATTTTTTAATGGGAAACCATCTGCAAATGAATCGAAATTACATGGAAGTAGAGTGTATGTAAGAATACCAGAAGAAAAGAGAAAGTCTAAGTGGGATAAAAGTTCTGAATTTGGAATTTTACTGGGATATACAGAAGTTGGATATAGAGTTTTGATGAATAACAAAATAATAGTTGCCAGGCATGTTGACATCATTGAAGAAGACATAATGTGTGTAGGTTGTGATGAAGATGAGAATGATGATACAAATAAGAATGAACCCCAAGAAGTGTTATATGAATCGAGTAATTATAACTCCAAGGACAGTGTGATAAAAGAAGATGAAACAAAAAGTGGTTTGAGACCAAGAAGGCAAATCAAACCACCAGTTCGATTTCATGAAAGAATTCAGGGTACTACTGTGTGTTAGTGCAAATTTTTGTGATGCTACAGTTCCAGGTAACTTTGAAGAGGCGACAACATGCAGCGAGGCTGGACATTGGAAAGAGGCAATGGACAGTGAAATGAACAGTCTTGTTAAAAAACGACACTTGGACACTAGTGACTAAAACCAGAGGATAAAGCAATTCTAGATGTGAAGTGGGGTATTCAAAAGAAAACCAGGTAATGTTTTTAAAGTGTAATGTTTTATTCCATGAGTTCAAGGTTCCATTAGTGGTTCGAGGTTTTCAGCAAAAAGATAGTATTGAGGATGCTTACTCCCCTGTCATTAAGATGCAAACCTTAAAATTGTTACTTTCATATTCTTGCAGTATAATTTAACTATTCATGAAATGGATATTGAGACTGCTTTTTTAAATGGTTATGTTGTATCTGAGTTTTATTTTAAACAACTACAAGGCTATAATGATAATTTGAACAGAGTGTATAAATTAAAGAAAGCACTATATGGGTTGAAAGAAAGCCCTCATGCTTGGTATGAGTGTTTTAATGAGTATATTGAGAGTCTAGGATTTCATAGAAGTAAATATGATTATTGTCTTTATGTAAAATCTGAAAATGATGTATTTGTATATATTCTTTTATTTGTTGATAATTTGTTAATATGTTGGAAAGATACTCAGGTAGTTAATGATATTAAGGCACAACTACATAATAAATTTGAAACGAAGGATTTAAATAAAGTAAAAAGCTACACTGGAATTGATATTGAAAATGATAATGAGAAAAGTAATATCTTAACATTCAGGAAAATTATATTGAATCTTTAGCTAAACTGTATGGTATGGAAAATTCAAAGCTTTGTGATACACCAATGGAGATTAATCTTAAACTAAGCCAATCTAATTTAAATCAAAATGTTAAATATAGAAATCTAATAGGAGCACTCTTGTATATTAGTCATGGTACTAGACAAGACATATCTTTCATCATAAATTATCTAAGTAGATTTCAAAATTCTTACAAATTGAGACACATTTCAAATATACTTTGAGAGTTTTAAAGTAGTTGTACTTAACAAAACATCTAAAATTAACCTATAGTAAAAATTCTTAAAACTGATATTATGAATTGTTATGTTGATGCTGATTGGGCAGGCGATATTGTTGACAGAAAATCAACTACTGGGTTTGTTATTATTTGGTAATCCAATTTATTGGAAATCCAAAAGGCAAAGTTGTGTGACAAACTCTTCCACTTTTGCTGAGTATATTGCTCTATCTGGGCCATTGCTAGTTATGGGAACTTCACTAAAAATTCAATACACATAGAAGTTCAATATCATTATGTACATGAAAATGCTCAAAATGGAGTAATTGAAATTTTATAAAGATTGATTCAGAATCAAATATTACAGATATCTTTGCTAAGTCTTTAGGAAAGATTAAATTTATGAAATTCAGAGGTTTGAAATTTAAATAAATTTTGTATACTGTTTATTTAAATGATGTTTATTTAAATATTTTTGCTTGAGATGAAATAGATTTTGATAATGTCCTTATGTAAACTAAATTGTATTTAACTTTGATTTTAACATTTAAGTTAATGAAAGAAACATTTTTTGAAATAATTTGTGTCAAGTGTTGAATGTTATTGTTTATATCTGTGCTTAATTGTAAATGGTAAAGATGAAAAGGTTGCTTATATCTATGTTTATTTGTAATTAGTAAATATAAATATAAGGAGGCATGTTAGTTAGGTAAATTTATCTTTACCATGTTGTTCTTTAATGCGTGCAAGCTTTTGATGTTAGTGTAATGTTGTGCACGTGTTGTTAAGTTTAAATAAAAAATGGGAAAAGATACGTTTCTTAATTTTTGACTTGCTTCTTGATATGATATCGGTTTATTTAACCATTACATAGTTCCGGACTGTCCCAAAAATGGCTATAAGTAAACCTTCATTTACCCACCAGTCAATTAATGCACTTTTCTCCTTTCGTTCCAAATCGTACAGAAACTTCAAATTAAGCTTACTACATTCAGGCATTGTACCGTCTAAACCATGAAACAAGCAATGCACTTCCTAAGCAACACACACCACAAAAGCCCTTGCAAAATATCCCATGACTCAAAATTTCCCGGAATAGTGCAAACAATTGCATCATAATACGGTTTCTATAACATTCAACTACTCAGGTTATCATAAATTATACAACTATACTATGTCAGTACTGCTTGATAACATTCAGCCAATAAAATAAAACATGCAGATGGACTTGCAGTGTTTATAAGTTAATGCCGATTACGTTTGAAAAGATTAATTCCTGCAGTCAAAAGTCTTTAATCCGGACTTGTCGGGACTTCGACGATTCCAAATTATCGCTTTTTCCGGATTATAGATCATCAGTTTAAATCTGGTAAGATGGCATGCAGAAATTATAAAATTAAAAATATGAAACCGTAATTTATGAAATAAAGAGCAATTATGATCTACAGGGTATCAAAATTTACAAAAAAAGAAGCTTAATATTTATTTATTTACTTTATTAAACATTTCTTTCAACATGCGCATGCGTACCTTATGCATAGCCGAAATTAGAAAATTGCAACCAGAAAACTATTTGATGTGTATTCGTTATATTTAAAATGACGAGGAATTTGATTTAAATCATATCAAAGATGGACTACATCAAGATGAAATACTACATTTAGTAAGGAATTATAAGCCAAATAAAATAAAAACATCTGCCCTGATGATAAGGATAGTACTGACAGATCAACTTCCAGTTCATTGCGTGCCACGGCATTCCCCCCCCCCTCCCTGCAGAGCAGCGTGAAATTGATAAACAGATTTTGTAATGGTTAGAGAAACAAAAGATATGCCTTTATCCATTTTTACATCGAAATATCCTTTCGCTTTGTAGATCCTTTGGTAGCTCCAGCATCGGAAATTCTATTTGCCATAATCAAAAGTTCAAGCTTACTTTTATAAAATTGCTCTAAATTGCAAAAAATAATAAGCCGGATCCAATTAGAAGATTAAGGAACAATGCAATCTTCAACATTAACTGAAATAGATAATTAGATAATTTTAGCTTATCTTATACCGTACGTTATACATTAAACACGCATGCGTAGAAGTATTATGCACATGCGTAAACGCATTAGCACCAATTATGGGTAAGCAAGATGTACAAAATACTTATAACATCAGAGCTTAATGCGTTTACACATGCGCAGAAAGTTTGTAGCTTTGAGGTCCGATTATGGACGTCCGGATTAAAGACTTTTGGCTGTATTTGCTACAGTGTACATTTATTTTCGCAAAAATGTCTTTGCATGCACATTCATGATCATGGAATGTTTTATATATATGCTTCAGTAATATGGCAGCATAAATCCAGGAAATTGTTAGATAATTGTCCTTTGTGGTCTTTTATATAACTCCAGAAGAAGAAATGTTTTGAAGGAATATCTGTTGAACGTAGAGCTATTTAACAATGCCACCATAATCCATTTTCCATATGTATCTGTGTTTTGGATTTGAGGTCGTGCTTTTGCAGAAAATTATTTTGTAGATATAAAAACATACTCTGTATATTTAAAAATTGGATATTTTAGCTGTAAAGAGATTATTTATTACACAATTACACATTATCTTTTATATTATTAATTCATATACTCTGTAGCTTAGAAATTGACTTGGTCTAATATCTGTTGTAGTTTTTGAAGTAGAATTACCAATACATTCTGAGTATTGTAGGTGAAGAGTATTGTAGCTAATCTGACTTTGTAGTGTATTTTTTGAATGTAGCTGTCTATATTTATCAATTATTTTGAGAAGATGGTCTCATTAGAAAAGCAAATGTGTAATTTTTCTTTTTTTTTTTTTTTTTTTTTTTTTTTTTTTTTTTTTTTGACTGTAAAAACTGTTTACTATTAAAGCTAAAGCTATTGGAAGAATGTCTGCAGTTATTTTCTGCAGAATGGTCTTCAAGAGATTTTACCTTAAGGTGAGATTATAAATTGTAAAGATATAAATTGTGAAGTTGAACTTTCTATTAGCAAGCATTCACAGGGCCAAGGCTTTTGTTTGTAATTGTGATGTATGTACAAAATAGAGTGCATTTATCTCCTACTTTGAACTTCCAAGCACTGATATATTGTCTATTTATGAAGTGTCCATTGCAGTGAATATCCATTAACAGAGGTTCAGCTTCATATATGCTTGTGGTATATAAGCACATTTTAAAAAAAGTATTTAGGTATATCACAGAATAAGGCATTTGAATGCCCTAAATATGTATGTGAATATATTTTTATTGAAAGAATTGAGTGTAAATGTTAACATCTGTAAAAATTCTAATATTTTGAAAATTATTTAACAGTCATCCGTCGGTTTATGGTCCAAGGTGGAGACTTCATAGTAGGTGATGGTCGAGGCAGTGAAAGTATATATGGTGACAGTTTTGAAGATGAGGGCTTTGCTTTAAAGGTAATATCTTCAATATGTTATTAAATAGTTCAGGTTTTCTAATCTTATGTTTTAAGGCAACTTTTTCAATTATCTATATGTTACAAATTATATGTAACTGCAATAATGTCATAAATATTTAATTATTTTTATTCAATAAATGGTCAGAACAACAATTATTAATTTGTTACCAAGTTACAAAGAAATTTATTATAAGGTTGTGCTATTCAAAATCTATACATGCAATTTATTGTACATATAGTGATTAAATATTATATAAGGACAATCCCAAAAATGAAATCGCCTATATTTTTTTAATATACAAACAAACATTTGTTTTCTATAATGCTTACATTAGATTAAAAGATTGAAGACTGCCTTCTTTTACTACATAATCGCCATTTTGATCAATGTATTTTTGTCAGCACTGTGGCAGTTTCACAATGCCCATGTCTTACCAGCTCACCACCATGTCCTTCAGGAAGTGTTGAACCTCATTTTTCACTTCGTTGGAGCAGAACCACCATATAGACAAATGTTATTTCAACCGAGGGAACAGACAATAGTCTTTGGGTTCCAAGTCTGGACTAAATGGTGGGTGGATCATGATATTCCAACCAAAGTTTTGCAGGAAAGCAATGTTTGACGGGTGATATGTGGGCAGACGTTGTCATGGAGAATGTTTACACCCTTGCTCAACATTCTTCTTCTCTGGTTCTGAATTGCACTTCTGAGTTTCTTCAGTGTTTCACAGTACCTGCATTTTATTGTGTGTCCCTCAGGTTAAAAGTTGATGAACAATACTCCCTTCTGGTCCCAGAACACAATTGCCATGACTTTACTGGCAGACTATGTTTGAATTTCACAGTTTGGGTAAAGAGGGAAGCTGCCATTCATTTGCCTATTGTTTGGTATCATGTGTAACCAGAGTTCATCTTCTCTGACAGTCGAGTCCAAGAAGTTGGCCTTTTCATCTGCATGGTGGCAAAGAATCAAATCATTACCATTTTGGTCTTCTGTCGTTATACTTTGTACCCATCTTGCACAAACCTTTCAATATTGACTCTTTTCTATTAAAATCCCATTTATAGTGCTTTGGGGAACCTCAGGAACTAACATGCAGAGAGCATCCAGACTGATCTTCCAATCTTTACACATGTGTTCCTCAATCTTGACTGGCTGTAAACTCTGTATGCCCATTTGCAAACGCTTTTACATTGGTGCATGACTGTTCATACACTTCTGTCAGTTGGTGAAGAATATCAACCAGATGCTTTTTCCATTCAAAGAGCGAATAACTGCACAGACTTCACAGTTGGTGGTAGCTTATAATGAGAACTCCATTTTGAATGGCTTCTAAGCCAAGACTGAGCATTGCTTATCTGGAGTGTAGGAAGTGGTGTGGCCAAAAATTATACTAACAGTTTCACCAGGTCCCTAAAAAATAGATCTATTTTTGGAATTGCCCTTGTATTTTGATGTAATTGAATGACTTGAATCAAAGAGTTGTCTTTGTTTCACTCATTAATTTTCCATTATTAGCCTTCACGGAAATTAAGAACAGCATCAGATCTGGTTTCTATCCATTGTCAAATAACTCGCTATTTATATGGTATAATTACAAATGGCTCATCATGTTTTGAATTTCTGTGATTTTGAAGACATGGAGGTCAAACGTGATCTTGATATTCACGTAACTAAAATATATTAAATTCTTAAATTTGTAGATGCAAACTTTATTTCAAATTTTGTATAGCAGTTATGAATTCCTTTACCAGAAGCATACAACAGAAAGCATTTTTATCATCCAGAATATTCAAAGCACTTATCCATTATTCTATTTCCAGTAACATGCTTATTAAAGCCAGTATGATACAGATAACCCAAACCACTAGATTATTCTGTAATGTCAACAGTTTGAAAACACTAGTTGAGTAAAGGCAAAAGCCCTGAACAACCAGTTGTTTCCAATAAAACAGTAAAAAAAGCTAGTGAATGGTATGCCACAGAAATCATTTCACTTGTATGCCAAAGAAATATACAAATTGCTTTAGCTGTGAACTTGAAAATTGCAGCCAATTATATGGAAGATTTTTCTGTGGCAATTACAGCTGAAAAATACCAGTTGATGATGTTATGGCTTTTGTAGCCAGATGATATATCAAGTGATAGAAATTTTATTATATCATGCAAAAGGTGTTACAAGATTATGATTTTGTTTTCCATCTGATATTCAGTAAAGAAGCAACATTTCATTTGTGTGAAAAGAATAGGTTATTATCGAACAGATATAGCTGGAAATCTGGATTTTTTAATTATCTCAAACCCTGAATATCAGAATCTGTGAATTATAGACTCTTTTTTTTTTTTTTCCAAAATTAGTTTTGGAACAAATATATCATTCAATTACATAAATAAAAAATTATAATAAACTTCAAATAATGTCTGTTATGAAAAAGTCTTGCCATTTTGCACTGTATTGTCCCTTGCAATACATTTTCGACCGGTCCTGTACACTGTCGATGGTACAGTAATTTCTTAGGCTTAAAATTGCTGTACATAATTTAGCTGCAAAAGCCATAATGAAGTATGTGTATTTTCTATGTGTTTGTCATTACATACCATGACATCTCGTTCTTGAGCTCTTTACTATCTCGATTTATGGCAGATGTTCTTGAATGGAAATCTGCTAGTATATGATATGGATTGGTCTATAGAGAGGATCATATTGCTTAGACATGGATTAGGCTTTGGATAGAGATCAGGATTGGCACTGAATTCTGAACACACTCAGTAGTCCTAATACATCAATCTTTTAGACACATGACTGTAATGTTCTACCTGGCAATCTCATAAGATGATACCTGGGTAAGTTCATTGTGAATAGCAAAAAGCATACTGAGAACATGCGTACTCTTTGCATTTCTTGTGTATGATTAAAAAGTGTTAGTGCATTTGACAGCTTGTGTATCCCATATGGTTCGGTATAACCAGATATCCTATCTGATCAGCCTTTTAAGTTTACTTTTTCTGAAAATTTTTTATAAAAGTTAAAATTTTGCTAAATTCATTGTTTTTGCAAGCCTTTCAATTTAAATAATGGAATTTTTATTTGAACCGAATGCCATCAACAGGTGGATGTTAAAATCAGAAATAAATTTCAGTGGGAGTGGTTGCAAAAAATAGACAGTTGGGGTAAACAAATTTTTGTCTGGTGCAAGAAAACATAGGTCCCAGAATTTTTATAATACACATTGCAATACCTTCATTCATTACGTTTGTGAAGGAGTATGATCTTTATCAAAACAGGCAGTAGAAGGAAGATATTCACCACAAAGCATGAGAGTCTGCATAAAAGCCACAAATTTATTTGCTGTATACTCAGGCATTATGGAGGAATTGCAGCATAGTAAAAGAATCTTTGATAGAGTGAGTTACTACAGCAGTGAATGATGGAGCATTATCTCCTGCTTTTCTTATCTCCAGACATTATTAAGCTAACTAAAATGTTCACTAACAACATGAATTCATTACAAATAAGTAGAAAAAACTGCACTTCAGACTGAAGTATGAACTTGCCTAAATTATCATAGAACAAAAGAGAAAACTTTGAAAACTGTTTGTTTCTCCTTAAATATTAATGAGAGCACTAATAGAATAAATGAAAGTATTTAGATATTTTTAGTTCCGTATTTTTCTGAAGAGCAAGAAAAGTTTGTGATGAACATTTATATCTTGCAAAGTTAAATTAGGTAAACAATTTATTCAGAGAAGTTTTATGTGGTGACATACATTTCATTGTGAAGAGCATTGATAAAAGTGAGCATTTGTATGAAAATTTGCACTTCATCAAATGTAAAACTATTGAACTCACTGTCAAGACCATATCAATGGTGGGCTTATATTCTAACTATTCTTGACTGAATTGTGTATTTATGGGATGTGTTACTGTGATTTTTCTAGTCTTGATTTTTCTATCTTTGAAGACAATATGATTTTTTCTATCTTTGAAGACAGCAGTTGCACATGGATAGACTAAAAAATATTTTTCAGGAAAGATGTACAGAGGAATTTTTCTTGGAAAAGTATTGTAGAAGACTTTGCGAAGTTTATTGTTCTAAAAAGTGTATACATTAGTATATGTGAAAATTGCAAAACCATAAAGAAATTATGCGAATGGGAACCAAACTTACAAGAAATGCAAAGTGAAGTAAGACATGCAGCTGATTAGAATTACAAAGCGATTGTGCATGCATAGAATGAGAACTAGCTGTTTGTGCCATGTATATAAAGGGCTGTAAAGTTGCATTGAATTCTGTTTATTGTCCCCTGTCTGCGGTAAATGTTTAATTAGTGTTCAATAGCGGAGGGTGCCATACCAACAACTAACAGAGTTTGAATGAGGCTGCATCATCAGTATGCAAGAGGATGAACTTTCATATTGAGCAATCACAGCCCGCATGCAGCGTAATGCCACAACAGTGATGTGTATTTGAAGAAATGGACAGAGGGGAACAAAACAAGGAGAAATGCTTGCAGTGAGTCACGCAATAGCACAATGCCACGGGGAGGCAGACACCTCATTCGCTTGGCTGCGACGGATTGTACAGCATCCTCTCGTGTATTAGCACAACATTGGAGCAAGGCTACATGTGTTGTGTTCTCTAGTTCCATGGTTCATTGCCATCTGTTGTAGCTGAAATGCATGCAAAGGTTCCTCTACACAGACTGATCCGACTTCAGTTGGCATAGCAACACAGTGAGTGGCAAGGCCCATGGCAAAAAAGTTGTTTTCTTTGTCTAGAATCTGAAATTCAGTGGTGGAAGAGTACTCTTCAGACATTACAGAGGGGGATGTCTGCTTCCACAGTGAGTTATTCAGCATCATGCCACACAAATGCATATCATCATGGTGTGGGGAGTTATTGGGTATAATTGTCTAATCTCATCTAATGCAGACTGCAGGCAACTTTAATAGTGATTGCTACGTAAGAGAAGTTGGAGAGCCAGAGGTCCTCCCCACGATTACATTCAGAATTTGTATGATTCAATGTCATAATGTGTATAGACTCACCGTCAGCACACAAAGTACTGATTTCCAGTGTTTTCCTTTTTTTTTTTTTTTTCTTTTTTTGTCTTATAAATTTGATCGTTTATTTGTACCATCAGTAATATGTGGAATAAATTTCCATTCATTTCTAACAATTCCTTGATGGTGTTGCATTTTTCACAAACATTAAGTATAAAATGATAAAGTAGGCGTAATTCTGGTGTCATGTTCATTTGTGCCTAGAATAATATTTTTAGTCAGCTCAAAGAAAAAGTCATATGATATTAATATAACTAACTTCCTTTAAAAAATCTGTGATCTCTCCTTTTTGTGTAAATGGTACCATGCCAAGCGTATATTTACATTCTCAAGCACTCTACCATTCTGTGGTTAAAGTGGTTATTCAAAGTCCATAAAAAATGTAACTTGTTTTGTCTCTATTAAGAATATTGTTTTATAATTATCAAAGGCAGAAATTAAATATTTGTTTTATTTAGTAACAAATATTTAATTTCTGACTTTAAAAAATTAAGCTTTTTTGGTTCTGAATTCATGAAAATAATTCAGCAATTAAGAGATTCAACATGCTAACAAGTGCATATTTTTTATTATTATTTGAATAAGTAAAGAGATTTTATCTGAAATTTTTATTTATTATTTTTCTCATTATTATTTAATGCTGAAGTTATTTAAGTTTTAAGGTAATTTTAAATTTGATTTTACATGGTTTTTTTTGTATTCATTAAATATTTTTCTCATATAGCATGATCAGCCTGGCCTTCTAAGTATGGCTAACAGTGGACCAAATACTAATGGCTGTCAGTTTTTCATAACAACAGTGCCAACACCCCATTTAGATAATAAACATGTAATATTTGGAAAAGTAAAGAAGGGTATGGGAGCTGTCACTGAAGTGGAAAATGTCCCTACCAATGAAAATGATGAACCTCTAGAAGTAAGTGAAATTTTCTGAATAAAAAGGCTAATCTATGAAAAAACTAGTCTTATTTTCTAAGAGAAATGTATTCCTGGTGTGTTTATGCTGCAATTTATTGTGTTAATAATAAAATTTAAATTATACTACTATTTCAAAGTTTTTAATTTTTTTAATTCTTAAGTGGAATGAATTCTTGCACTGGAATATGTGAACAAATATGGAGTTGAATTGTAATCTTATTTACGCTGCATAAGATCTCATAGTATGATCCTTGAGAATATTAAATCTTCAACATTCGCAAGGATCAGTGATGCATTTACTATTAAAGATATTTAATACTTTTATATATGTTAGCTCTTTCAGTAAAAACAGTAATACAGTACAAAGTCTTTAATCCGGACTCGTCGAGACTTTGGTGATTCCAAATTAGGGGTTTTTCCAGATTATAGATCATCAATTTAAATCTGGTAAGATGGCATGCAGAAATTATAAAATTAAAAATATGAAACCATAATTTATGAAATAAAGAGCAATTGTGATCTAAAGGGTATCAAAATTTACAAAAAAAGCTTAATATATATTTGTTTACTTTATTAAACATTTCTTTCAATGTAAATTGTTTAAGTTGCTTCGTTTTTTGTGCTAATACTTTCTCTTTAATTCTGTAAACAGACATAATTTCTTGTTCAGTTCCACTGTTCAAGTCCTGTAATTGCTGTGTCGAGAATACCGACTAACTTGTCAATCGAAATTTTTCCATTTTTACTAACCTCTCTGTCACTTTCTTCATGCCTTTATCCTTTTTTTTGCAGCAATTCCACTTTTTGTTGATGGACATCGCTTTTGTAGATCCTTTGGCAGCTCCAGAATCGGAAACTCTTTTTGACATAATCAAAAGTTCAAGCTTACTTTTTATAAAATTGCTCTAACAGTCTGCAAAAAATAATAAGCCAGATCCAATTAGAAGATTAAGGAACAATGCAATCTGCAACATTAACTGAAATGTATAATTAGATCATTTTAGCCTAGTTTATACCGTCCATTATACATTAAACACGCATGCGCAAATGTATTATGCGCGTGCGTAAATGCATATGCACATGCGTAAAGGTATTATGAGCATGCGTTAACGCATTATGCGTTTTTGCGTGCGCAGAAAGTTTGTAGCTTTGAGGTCTGGATTAAAGACTTTGTACTGTATAAATTTTACATATTGCGTAGCTGTTTTTTTCTTAATATTTTATGCTTAATATTAAATTCAAGTTTTTATTTGCCTGATTTCAAATTTCAACGAAAATTAATTAAGGCCCGCCTCAAGTCTAATAATAATAATAAAATTTGAATATTTATAGATAGCAAGAGTTTTGCATAGAATATTAAGAATGGAAATTTGCATTGAATATGGGAAGATAACTGAATATCAAATAAGAATGTTAGGGGAAATCCGATTGGAGCGTTTTTCTTAACAGTGCTAAATTTAAATGTAAACTACTACTTCCCTTTGCTGCATTTTTGTCTTAAGACAAAATTATTGTAGCCTGCCAGCAATATGTATATGAAATAATTTTAAAAAGAGAAGAAATGAAGTAATTTAGAAATTATTGTTAAAAAGTGACCTATTTTCTCAAACCCATCCTAAGATAGAACAGTTTTGGGAACTTATAATAATAAATAAATAAAATATTGAAGTTTCAGAAATAAATGAAATTTATTGAATGAAACTTAAATTGTGAAAATTTCATCCTCCACCTCTAGCGGTTTTCAGCATATTTTTCTTACGAAATTTTAAGCTACTGTAAACATTTGTAGAGCTTTATATAAAGATGCAACCAATGCTTAATCAGCTAACTTTTGTAACTTTGTTGTTACATCAATAATATTGTACAGTACTAAATTTAACATTAGTTCTTAATTTTATTTTCAGCTTATTTAATATTCAAGCTTTCTTTCCCTACTTAGAATTTTTCATGTTAAAGCGAAGAAAATTTAAGAAATGAAATTAAAAACTTGAAACCATTTTAGCATTGCTTCTGGTGCTGAACTGTTATGCAGTTGGCATGGTAGTGAATGCCTTTCAGGTTTTTCAGAGTAAATTTTAATGCCAAATAAATTCAAATACATTTTCATGCTTTTCATTGCATCAAAAGCTGCACTGGCAATTATATATAGTTTTTAATTATCATTTCTGAAAGTATCATGAATTCATTATTATGTTTGTTTTAAATTTGTAGTTTTATGTGAATTTTCACAATATCAAGATTTAGGGAAGCATGATGTTTCCCCCCCCCCTTTTTTTTTACAAAAGTTTGAATTCTATTTTATGAGATCTGAAACCTGATTTTATAGTCATCATCGAAATCAACAGTTTTACTGTGTTGCTCAAAGCTTGAATGCTTTAATGTTTCCATTATTGGCTGCATTTACAAATTTTTTTGGCTACCCTTCTGAAATTCCCTGCTCTTCATTCAGCTGCGGCTGTGTTGAAAAATACCATGTGGACTATGTTATAAGAAAAACAAGTTAGAATGAATAAAACTATAGTTATGTGAAAAACAAAATTAAGATTTGTGTACTTCAAATAACATTTTTTAACAAGGTTTGAGTATTACATTTATGATTTAAATTTCTAAATATTTTAATATTTATTTTTTTATTAAATTTTTCTGTAAAGTATTTTTGAGAATTGTTTATCAATGTGTTTATCATATTGATATAAAAGTATTCTTCTGATATATATTATGGTATTTTTGTAGTTATGCTTTATAGAAAATTGTGGTGAGTATAAACCTGGAGAAGATTTTGGTTTATGTGAAAATGATGGAACTGAAGACGTGTTTCCACCTTTTCCAGAAGATTCTGATATGGATTTCAAGGATGTAAGAATTAAAACTTTGAGCAATAATATTTAATTATTATTGTTTGAATGCATCGTCATGTTTTTCTATCTGTAACTTGAGATCTATTATCATCTTAAGGTATATTTGTACCAATTATGGATAAAAGATTTGCATGCATGAATGAAAAGTGTATTCCTGTATAGCTCCTCAGGAAAACTGGAGCCGTCATTTATGTGGGATAGATCTTAAAGAATATGAATCATTAGAATAAACAATTTCTTCACTTGAGATAGCATTTCATTTAAGTTGCTATCACCATAACTGGAGTCTTATTGCATATAGTTTATTTGCTATTTTCTAGCACCTGAAGTAGTATAACATTCTAAAAGTAGGTAACTAGTATTAATCAAATGTTTAAGAATAGATTTGTTGAATTTTCATTTCTTGAAATATTTTTCTTCACTCTCTCATCAGTAAGTGTTAATGACATATTGGAACTTGAATGAGTGGTTTCAATACTATTTTAGTTCTTGAACAGTTATGGTAATACTTTATGTGGAAAGACAGTAAAGGCATTATTTTTAAACACTGACAAATATGCATTTGTTTTTCACTTAGCAATAATGCCTGATTTAAGTTTTATATCAGGCATTATTGCTAAGCATTCTTGCTCTTTTAAAGATACTGGATTAAAATACAATTTGATCAATTGTAGGTTCATATAATACAAGTTTATATATATATAGTTAATTTGTTCTTAAAAGTCTTGAATTTTAACTAATTTGTGAAAAGTCTGTTTTTTTTGCTACATTTCTCTTTGTAGAATTATCATCCTTAATGGGCATTGATATTTTGGATAGATATATAATATGGGGCACTGCAGACTGGCATAACGAACTGCAATAAACTGCCTCGGGCAAATGTTTTGAGTTGTTTGTTTCATCCCGCCATCCATAACTAGTAATATGAACAAGAATATTCTACATCAGCCTAATTCTGTAAGGGTTCATATTTCAATATGTATGTGGATAATTCAACTATTCCCAGCTCTAGTGCCACAACTAAGTATCCTAAATCAAATATCTATCTGCCAATGTTACCTTAAAGCTATGGTGTGAATTACTGCATATGGCTTGAACTAATTGGGAAAACACAACTCATAAGCAAGTATGACTTTAAGTCTCTTGATCTTGAAACAATTAGCTGGTCTAAAAGTACAGCGGGATATAATACAAGTATTTCTGCTCAAAGCCGCAACACTCTGTGTTGAACAATCTGAAGTCTAAATCAAAATAACTTATCCACTGGACTAATGTCTGGCAGTCTATTTCAGTAGAGCCATGGCTTCTCATTCTAAGGCAAATGCAGTAGCTGTTACACATCTAAATGTCTATTATAAGCAATAGAGTTGAAATTTTTTCTCTCATTTTTATACTGTGATGTATTGGGAATGCAAATCTGCATAAATCTATGGACTGTGCAAATGTGTGATGAAATAAAGTATAAAGGGGTGTTTTATACTTTATTTCAAAATGAAAGGTCCTTCATTTTGAAATAAAGTATTCAAAGTTCTTCAAAATTTTTGTATAAAGGAAATGTATTTCCTTTACACGTTTTCCTAAAATTTCCTTTATAATTATTCCCTAATAAAATTTCCTTTACACGTTCATCCTTTCCATGGAAAAGATTTTGACATGCAAGTCTTCTAACAGACTTTATGAAAAGTCTAACCTTAACTTCTAGAGTTGCAATCTTGTCACAAATTCGCAGCTTAATTCTCTGTCTTTCTACATCTTTCCAGTAGTACCTGGAAGAAGAAAAAAAAAGTATGGTATTTACATACAATATCACCTTTCATTTTGCTAGAACATATTCATTCCTTTACAAGCTAGTTATATACAGTCTTTGCTGACTTTCTCCGTGACTGCTGTGTTACTGCATTAACGTGTTTGTACTGTGTGACCAAGTGCAGTGTATCTTAGCATCCTTATGTCTGAAAACAGGCAACGTTTTACTTATGAGTGTTTGCCACAGAGACTAGTTCTTCCTTTTACATTTTTACATCTTTCCTTTTACTTTTTTTTTCTCATTTTTCAATTCCCCTTTACAGGATTCAAAAGTAAGAAACACTACTTTCAAAATTATAGGTGATCTCTAGCTTAGAAATTTGCTTTTAATCCAAACATTAGTAACTAGTTAAAATTGTTTAAAACACACTTGTGTTATTATTTCTTTATTACATATTAGTCTAAATATAAAGAAAATTAACTTACAATTAAGAAAAATAACTTTTAACATATTTACTGCTTTCCATTTTGGCTCCAGTCGGTCGTTCATTTTTCACACCATTTCTGGAACTCTGTTGAACTTCCCACTGCTTGATTTGTCCCTTGCATTTGTCACTTCAGCATATCTGCACTCTAGATTACACACTGCATCATCACTGTCTGGACTCTGTTGAGTGAAATAACTGTTCATCAGTGGAGCTTGACATCCACTTGTTGATCTGCTTTTCTCTTCCGACCTGTAGATGGTAGGTATTTAGACTCACTTTGGCCGCCGTCTCTATAGCTTATATCTGGCTTGTTTACGCTTTTGTCTTAGGCCTTGTTTCCCAACTGCTTTGCACTGCTGGTAACTCAACTTTCTTGAATGCATTCCAGACCTTACGTTTAGCCTGCTAGCTTTATCTTCTAAATTTTCTTTTTTGGTAATGTCGTCTTGTCGCTGTGCTATTTGAGATATCCAGTTCTTATGATGACTTTTACTTTGATTCTCAATTTGTACATTCTTCTGTCTTTTTTTTTTTTTTTTTTTTTTTTTTTTTTTTTTTTAGGGACCTGCTCAGTGTCCTCTTGCTTCTCATCTTTTTCATTTCCATTTGCTGGATGAGCCTTCTTCAAATTCTTTACTAAACCTTCTACTCTCATCTCAGGCAAATTAGCCTGCATTCCAAATGCAACCTCTAATTGAATTCCCATTTCCTTCACAAGTTGCATGTCAGCTCTGTTGTAGAATCTATTAACTTACCACATTTGTGGAATTCGTCAGCCTCACCTCGCTGTACAGTATCACCAGATAATATTCGCAACTACATAAGGTCTCCACATTTTCGATTAAGTTGTTTCTTGCTATTCTGTGGATGACTGCATATGTTTTAATACCTTGATCCTAGTATTTATATCAGCCTCCTTGCTTTTCTTATCATAATGCAATTTTTGCATTATCTTGGCGTTGTCCAAGATTTTGAGTGACTCATCAATTAACTTTTGAATATCTTTTCTCTGCCTCCTGCACTTAAAATAACTTATTTGATTTATCTATTTTAGCTGACTGCAATGCATACACTAACTTTTCAGTGCAAGGCATCCCAATTCTTGTGATACTTTTCAACATAGCAACAATTACATGCACTACATTTCTATTTACATGCTGAGCTAAATTGTGCCTTATTATCCGATATCATTTGAGTAATACTGATTGAATGAAGCCTTGAACTTTAAAAATGTGCCTGCAGTTGAATTAGCTAATGCAAAGCACTATTCACACCATTCTAAGATTGTCTACAATCAGTAGTAGAAAATATGAGTTAACCTGGCTTCTAGAGGGGCCTAACAAATATGTTCTGAACATCTCATTTGAGAACCTAGATAATGTATTATTTGAGGAGCTTTTTGGTGCAAAATTTACATATTTAGATTTCTGGCATGTGACAGCTGTGGACTCTGCATAATTTGGGAAGAAAACAGCTTCCCTAACTCTGACAAAATCAGATTGTTGTATTTGTAACTTAAAAATAGCTGGAATGACAGGCCTTAATTCTGAATTATCATTCACGTTTTTATTATAAAACAAAATATGATTGATAGCTTTTGTAATACTCAGCCCTGCCTTTAATTTCTGTCTGATTTACTTCCCAAAAATTCTTTGGATCCATTAATGCATAGATATTTCCCAAATTCTAGATCCTTCTTAAGCCGCTATCACACATCCGTTTATTTCAGAACAACTGTTTGGAACAATTTTTTTGCTTTGTCACAACAGCCAATCCCATAGATCGCTTTGGGGTTAACAGAGGGGGAACTGGTTCTCCATTACAAACAAGCTGATAGCTGATTGGTTGAAAAAAAAACAACTTGCTTTTTTTTTTTTTTAAGAAAGGAAAAAAAATCGTATTTCTTTCAGTAGTAAACCAGTTGTAAAAACAGTTGTTCGTGTTAAACAAATGCTTGTGTGAGTGTGCTATGGGTCTTATGCATCATTACGTGACCTGGGATGAAATCATACATTGAGGCTATTAGATTAATGAAAATTTTTTATATATTACTCTTCTAGCTTCATTTCCACCTTCATCTGTGTTATAGAAAAAGCTATATATTAGGCAAATCCAGCACTCAGTTCTTGGAAAACCAGTGCACAAAATAAGTCTGCCTTAATATATTGTATTGGGCAATGTATTGAGCCAAAAGCATGGTGAGAAAGAGGCTGAATCAGTTCTTTCGCTGAGCTGTCAGACAGCACTCTCTTCAAAAATGATGTTTTTCATTATTGCAAATACATATTTTAGATGGAATTGTGTGATTATAGGGATAGGCATAACCGTGATTTTATAGGCTAAATAATTTTCCTTGTAAAATTATAATTAATGTGTGGTGAAACTGAATAACGATGGAAAACAAATTTATTAATAGCACACAGTAATGACTGTAATTAATTTTTAATTATATTTTTTAAAGTTAAAAATAACATCATTTGGAAGATGTGACAATTGTGATTGTTGTAATTATTCTTTGTATATGATTCATCAGTCACATTTTACACTATTTTGTGATATGATTTTCCTTACAAGATCGGACATAGGGAACCCAACTTTCGGTCCCTTAAAGTTCGTTATAGTTATTTGACTGTAATTTTCCTTCAGAATTTGTAGAAGAATTATTTTAATAATTCTAAAAATTTCCAACCTTTTTTTCACATGTATTGAAAATTTGAGTGGAAATGACATTTTTGAGGATCAATGGGCAGGATGATTCCCGTTGTTATTATGCAATAAAAATGTTGCAAGATGATATTTATGGCAGAAATTCTGATAACATGTAAAGAATATTTTTATAGAGTAGAGAATATCCTGTTAAAATTGCATTTATTGCAAGTTAGTTTTAATTTTCACTTCTAATCATTTTGTACCTCCTTAAGCAGTCTGTATTATTAATGCTATATATAAAGATAAACATTTAAATAATTCAGTTGGAATTAATACATTATTTAGTGGTTAATTGCAAAAAAAAAAAAAAAAAAAAAATGAAATGGCATCTGCATGGGCCGACTATGCTTACAGCTTGCCCCATTTATTATTGAAAATGTTAAATATATGAGCTTCTGCTAAGTAATAAATAATCCAGATTCTCTCTAGATTCAGCTTCCAAATTATTTTATATTCTTTTAATAAAATTTGCCATCCAGTGTTTGAAGAGCTTAATATGCCATATTTAAATTATGTTTTTTTTTTTTTTTTTTTTTTAATCTGAATCTTGATAGTAGTATATCCAAAAGTTGTTGAATTAGTTTTCTTAAAGCTTTCTGTTTTCATCAAAATCTATTGATTAATTAATTTTAATGTTCTTTTTTTCTTCTCTCCAAAAGTGTTTAAAAGCCTTCTTAAAATCCCCCCTATTCCCTTCTTTTAAATCTTTTTAGTCATACCAAAAGTATTTGAAAACTTTTTTCTTGAGGATTTTCCCTTCATTTCACTTAAGTCTAGCTGAAATATGTGTGCTATCTTAAAATTTATTGCCAACATCACTGCATAGTATAAAACAAAGTCACTTTCTCTGTCTTTATATCCTTATGTCTGCTTAAATCTTTAAAACTACACAACGGATTTTGATGCGGTTTTTTTTAATAGATAGAGTGATTGAAGAGGAAGGTTTATATGTATAATAACATCCATTAAATAGTGGAGAAATACTGTTATTTTTTAGGTTTCTAATGTGATGTCGTAAATAATTACATTTTTTCCGCTTACATTGCAAACGCAGGCTGAACCCTACGAGATTTATCAAAATAATGTACTAAGTATTGTACACATTGAAAAGGTCTACAGATTTAAAAATTGCAGGACGTAGCGTTTGCGGCGGTGCCGGGGCGGCGGGAGTGTGCCTATAAATAGCGCATCGGAGGCCGCGGTTCTCCCTATAGCACTTTGAATTTAGCAGCGATCGGACGCATTTATTATCAGAGCTCTCTAGCTTTCAGTGCGACAACGTATCAGTAATTATAAGTAAGTTACGATAAATAATTGTATGATAGTAGTTTTAAAATATAAATGATATTCTATTCTAAGGTTAATTTTTAAATCGCACTTATAGTAATTATAAGTACATAAGGTTAGATAAGATTAGATTAAATAAAACCATAATTTATGGATTGGAATTTTCTATTAAGATCTTGGTTAAAATTTAGAGTTAAATCAATTTAATATTAGGGAAATTATTTTCAAAAATCGTAATTTAAGGTGAGGTATGTAAGTTCAGAAAAAGATTATGAACTGCGATTCATTGTTAAAATATCCATTAATATTTTATACCCGTGCGAAGCCGGAGCGGGTCGCTAGTAGGTTATATAGCATATTATCATTTTGGAGTATCTTTTTATCAAATTTGATAAATGCTAAGCAAATTCTCATTTCTTATTGATTACCTAGTATAAGAAATTTCATTCACTTCATTCATGTTAATAAACTGTATAGTTTTAAACGAGATATATCAGTTTACTGTTGTATTAAAAGCAAGTTCCAACAGAAAATATCTCTTTTAAAGTAAAAATGGTAAATATTGTCTTTGAATATAAGATTAAATTAATGCCAGTAATTTGAAGTTATTTAATATTTTATCTTTGTAGATTGATCATATACTTTGGGTTGCTGAAAGAATAAAGTTATCTGGAAATATTTATTTCAAGAAAGAAGACTTTGTTACAGCAAATATGAAATATAAAAAAGCATTAAGGTATTTTCAAATATTTTAACCTATTTTTAAATTGCTTTCCATTGATTAAAATGTGTAATATTGAATTTGAAAAATTGCAGGTATTTAAACAAATTACTTGAAATAAATGAAGCTAATACTGAGTTAGAAAAAAGAATGAATGCTCTAGTAGTGCCATGTATCCTAAATAGGTAAATGTTAAAATATTTTCTTTATTATTATTAAAATTCTTGATGGCTTTATTATGTTAAACTAAACTTGAGTTGTCGTTTTAAACTTAGAAAATAATATTATTAGTATTGCATATCGAGCATATGAAGTCAATTATCTCTGTGAAGTTTGTGATGGAATAGAAGGAAACCTTTCATGACATAACATCTTCTTGAGATCATATCTGAAATTGATCAGCTTTTCTGAAAGCATAAATGCATTTAATGATAATTGTGATGTGATATATCTTAGATACGTAGTTCTTAAATTGACCGAGACCATTAACCTTTTAACTGTCAAGTTATTTTGATGATTTGGGTGCATAAATTGTCAATTTTTTTTATTCCAAAAATGAAATGTTTGCCTCAAAGTAATCAAAAAAAAAAAAAAAAAAAAAAAATGCAGTGCACTTTGAACTTTAACCTCTATCCTGTGAAACCTTCAATCAAATGCTGCCATCTGTTGAACTGAAGCCAAAATAAACTTCTCACGATATATATTCGGGTATAACAAGACGATGCACTCAAAAAAAATTCGCCCGGGTAATATTCGGGCGTGACATTTTGGAATACCAGTGCTGTGCCCGAGATTTTTCGGGCATGACAGTTAAAAGGTTAAATCTATACTGAAGAATGTACCTAATCAGACTGAAATATTTTATTTACTAAAATCAAGGAAATGCATTTCAAAATTCTTACTTTAATATTAAAACTACACTCACGTCCATAAATTAAGGATAATTCGGAGTCACGCGGAAATCGAACTCTAAAATAAATATATTTCCTGTAAAATCACTACACACATCTTCAAGAATCATATGCAAATTTCAGGAAGTAACCAGATGACACCGATGGTACGTCACAATGACAAGAGTGTAAGAGAGTGATATATGAAGAATACAGGCAAAGAAGTAAAATTGTTCGCAGGCCCTTTATAAGCATTTCAGTGCAATAACCGAATAGTTATGACACAAAGGACACATTTGGGTGTTTTTTTACGTGTTAGAATTATCGGCCGTCTGGAATGTGGGCGTACCTAACTGGAAGTATCAGACGAACTTGGAATTGCCCAGAGTGTCATCTCCAGGCTTTGGAAACAATTCCAAGATGATGGTAATGTGAGTAGACGTTACAGCACAGGTTGCCCCAGAGTTACAATGCTGAATGAGGACCGGTATTTGGCAGTTACTGCCAAAAGAAACAGGTGGAGCACAGCCTCAGACCTGTCTCGTCAGCTCTCTTCAGCCACTGGTACGACAATTTCAAGGCAGACCGTGTACAGACGCTTAGGGCAGATTGGTCTATATGCTCGTAGACCTGTCAGATGCGGTCCACTTACTGCAACTCACTGTCGCCTGGAGTAGAGAGCATGCATTGTGGACACCGCAACAGTGGGCTTGTGTGATGTTTTCCGTTGAGTCCAGGTTTAGCTACAGAACTTCAGAGAGCATTGCTTTTTGAGTGGTGTAATATCCCCCAAGATCAGATTGATAATTTGATACTCAGCATGCCTAGGCATTGTACGGACTGTATTGCATCGTCTGGGAGACATACAATATATTAACAATCATACCAACCATGTAATAGTGGTTTTTTGTAAATAGTTTTTTTTTTTTTTTTTTTTTTTTTTGTAATTTGCTCCAGAGAGAAAAAATCGCTAATTTTTTTAATAATATCAAACATATAGCATCTTTTTTTGCTCTTTACCTTTTGTTTAATAAATAAGCTTTACAATTAAGTCAAATTTGTTTTGCTTCTAACTCTCCGTTTGCCTGATTTTGCATTATCCTTAGTTTATGGACATGAGTATATTTTAATTGTGAATAGTAGTTAATTTTTTTGAGTAAAGTCTTATAAGCTTGATTTAGCATTTATAATGCAGCAGCATTTAAATGATTCATTCTATTTTAAAACCCTTTATGCATAATTTTCATTTCCAATCTGCATGGCTGGTAATGTTAAACGAATCTTTTGTTGCAAAGGCAGTTGTGGTTTTGAATGCAGAGTCAAGTGTAAGTATTTTTTTACTTGAGGGAGATGTAAATAAGGCCTCCGTATGCAGTCAAATTAAGTGTGTCTCTGTACTTTTGTATTCAGAAAATCTGTAATTTGAAACCATAACTTTATTTATTTAAAAAAAAGCATAATAATGTGTGCATTATTAAACTTTTTAAGTACATAAACTTTTTTTTAATTTTTTCTTGACGGCGTGTATGTATTCATTACAAGTATGCAGTAGTTTTTATGATTATCTTACATTAGCATATCTTCAAAACAAGAGGTAAAAAACATTAAATTTAGAAACAGAGCTGAATTCCTGAAGATGCTGTTTGCTGTAAAGAAAGCTAGCAGAAAGTTATGAATGTTATGAAATGCAAATTCAGTAATTTTAAAGGAAAAGGAAGCAATAATAAAAAAAGCAGTTAAAAGCTATTTTAAAAAAATGGGAAAAGAAGAATTTTCAGCCATGTAAAGAAATAAACAATGTCAGATTTTAATTTTTTTAAAGATGTTCATGCGTAAAAATTACTAATTAGGGACATAATTATTCAAGTACTTCATGTGAGGAATTCAGTGCAAGTGGTGGTGGGTTCAAAAATTTCTTTGCTGAAGCAAAATTATGTTGAGAATTTGTGCAATGAAAATGATTTTATTAGTGAGAAAAATGATTGAAGTAAGTTATCATAAGGTATTAAAAGGATTGTAATTTAAAGAACATTTATAACGTAAGTAAGAGACATTTGTAAGTATACAGATATGGCATTAAAAAAGATAATGATCTCTGTGCCAGTGATTTGTGTAACAAAGAACTACCACTCACAACAATTTTTTATTATCAGAATGCTTAAACAATATCAGTGTCTGTGGAATGGTATAGATGAAAAATCCTGGATAACAGGCTATACATTCATGAATTAGATAGAAAATTTAACAGGCTATACGTTCATGGATGACACAATCAAATAAATCAACCCTAAAGATGAAAATACAAAATTGTAATCCAAATAGAAAAACGCAGATGCAGAAAATGTAGTTCAGCTAAAATTATGACCTATTTCTGTGTTCAGGCTAGTAGCAGAATAATCTGGGTTGAAATTGTAGAGCTGGGCCAGCTGTTAAGTGTTAATAGTGACCTAAACTTCGAAGATAAAAAATTAAAGATGACTGGGGAGTTTTTTTTTTTTTTTTTTTTTTTTTTTTTTTTTTTTTCCCATTGCAGGCAAATACTTTTATTTCTGAAGAAGTAGAAGTTCTATGGGAATAAGAAAATAAAGTAAATCTCATCTGTTAATTTAAGTAAAACTAAATTCTGTAAACAGGTTCATGTAAAAAAAATTATGTTGTAATCTAAGAAATTATAAGGCGATTGATTTACTTTATAAATTTGAAATAAGTTTGGGGAAAGACCTAAACTAAAGATTGACCAAAAGAAAAAATCATATAGGTAGATTTTTATTGAATAAATACTTTAATAAGAAGCAAGTGTTTTCTGAAATTACTAAACAAAACTTAAAATTTTTTCTGATTTTTTAATCTTCTTCATATTTTAACATATTCATTTTCAGTAATTCAGGAAGGTAAATTTTTGGCTGCATATATTGATTACTTATCAATATAATTCATAATTTTTATTAATATTACAATACTAATAAACTGGCAATAAGACGCTTCTACTTCAACACTTTTATTTAACAGATGCCAAAAGGATTGAATGAGATAAACTTTTTTCTTAAAGTTAATAATTATTACTACTTATTCTTATTATAAAATGATTACATCTACAGAAAACCTTAAATGAATTCTTAAAGAGGTTTCCCCATATGTTATATTTATAGATGCAGACTTCTAAAAAGTTTTAGGTTGAAATCGCACACCTAAGTGCAAAATGCAAGTTATTCACTTAAGCTGGTGAAGATGGTTCTCTAGTTTAACCATCGAAACTAGTCCTGCGAAATTAAAAAATATTATGCTGATTCTTGTTGTTTGACTTCTCCAGTAAGCTTTGTAGAATTGAGCAGTTTTTAATTAATAATGTATTTGTTCCAAAATACCATATTTCCTGGTGTATAAGACTTGTATACTTTTTCTTTAAGCATTTTGTGTTTACAAACCTGGATGTGTTGTATACTTCAGTATTCACATCATCAGTATTTATTCCAACAGCAATGGAAATGCTAATAGTGACATTGTTGCAAACAAAATCAAGTTGTGAAAGTTTATCCACAATCCTTAGAATGCTAAGGCCTTCACTCACCTCTTTCTTTGAAAAACTCAAACATCTGAAATTCCATTTGAGAATAACAGCAATTCCCCCCCTTCCCCCCAAAACGAAATGGTGTGAAGGTTTCAAATGTCATTATCTCCAGTTCCTATCAAAGGAGCTTCTCTGAGTGTGTACTAAACCAAAGTAAATAAAAATAAATAAATTAAAAAAATTACCAACTGGTAACTCCCCCCCCCAAAAAAAAGGAACCACAAAAGAAACCTTTTAAGACAGGATTGTCTACAATAAAGATGAATTGATACAATGTATTTGGGGAAATTGCATCTTAGGTTATTGTATACTTTAAGGGGTAAGAGATGGGAGTTCTGACAGTGATGATGTGTTGCATACTGAATAAATGTTGATTTCTATAACTTATGTAATATTTTTCTCTTATTTAATTGTAATCCGGCAAGCTTATAAAAACCAGTCTGTCAACCAATTAATTCGTTACTTTTTTCAATTTTCATGTCCCAAAATCAAGGTGCATCTCATGTGTAGGAGCATTTTATGCAAGGGGAAATATGGTATGTTGAAATTATACTAAAAATATTTGCAACCAATTGATTATTGGCATATCAAAATGATAAGTGCTTTGTATGATTTAATCATAATGGATTCAAATGAGAATAGTTACAGTCATAGAAGAGACACATCATAAATTAGCTATTTGTTAAGTGTTTCATTTGCAAAGATGCTTAAATTTGGATTTTTATATTTAAAAGGTTTTGGTTAATCTGTTATGTATTTCAGATTTTTGACCTATGCATACCAGGATTCAAATTCAGTAAATATAAAGATGATGCTAGAGACAAAGGTAGATAATGATATTATCCATTCAAAAGAAATAAAACCTTTTCTTAAATCTAATCCTAACATAGGCATGAATTTTAATTAAATTTTAAACTAGCATGTCTCTTGTCATCTATACTATTAAAATCTGTGCACGTCTATCTGTGGCATTATCTCCTCCGGAACGATGTGGAGTTCAGTTTTGAGAGAGGTACCCCCAGATTCTGAAAATTTGTGGAAAGCCATTTGAACCATTTTCATCTTTGTATGACTGTAATCAGCCGATATATTCATTAAAAACTCTGAGAATGCTAATTTTTTTTAGTACGCTGGAAATAAAAAAAATGCTTTATTTTGAAAATGACATCATGCATATTAACCTGTGTCCAAAAGTTGTTTCCTGGTTTGGCAATAAAAAAATTATTTTGGAATTGGTTGTTGCTTTGTGAGAATGAACTGATTTCATTCGTATTGAACTTTTTTTATGCACTTGCTTTTCAGGGGTACATAGAACTTTTGCTTTGGCTGCAGCTTGCTCATCTGGCAAGCTTGTTTGTTAGTCTGTAGCAAAATTTCCTACCTGTAGAAAGTCAGCTTAAATAATCTAGTAAATGTTGAAAATCGCATACTTGCCAATTTTTAAAATTTGTATTTTGCAAACATTTAAAGTGAGAGAAACTGTATAAAGTCTGTGATAATGAGAAAAAAAATTATTTGTTGCTAAAAGAATGCCACAATGTCATGTCAAGCTAAATTAGAACCTAACTGTATAAGCAGTTAGATTAATTAAAGCAGAAGCATTTTGGACAATGTTTATTCTCTTGCATTCTTCTGTAGGAGCTAAATTAAACATGGGTACCAAAGCAGAATGAGAGCATGGAATCTCAAGAACGTTTTACACGGAGAAAAGTTGGAAATTTAGCAGAAGAAATATGGCACACAATGCCATGTACGTATGAAACAAAGAATAATCTGTTTGCAGTATGGGGGGGGGAGAATAAAGGTTAAATTTTAAGTAAACAAAACAGAGATTTCAAGGAACATGAGAAACATTGAGGCATTCAAATATTTGTTTACAAAGTAAAAAAGGTAAAAATAATAATAATAATAATAATAATCTTTATATTGATGAAAAGAAGAGAAATAGATATCAGTATGTAAAACACTGCATTTTCCACCTCTTGAAATTAAAGAATTATCTCCTTTACTCAATTTTGTTTTATTAAATACATTTCTTTTTTTGTCCTATTCTTGTGCATATTTACATGCACTATTTTGAATAAAAAATGTTTAAAGTATTTAGTTTTTCTCTTTCAATGAAGCATTTTAATATTATGCAACAGTTCTAGTTTTTGGTAACATGGTTCTATAATAAAACTCTGTGTCCTTTAGACTGCATTTTAGTTAAGAGAGTTGGAGGTGTTTAAGAAAAATACTTTGTGTCTTACCAGTAAAACAGTTTAAACAGTTTATATTAAAAAATCAAGTAATGCGTATTTTATGCTTTTATGAGTTCTTTTCAGTATACCTTGAATGGTAGTTTTTTTTTCTTTTCTTTTTTGAGCTGAGCATTGAATTTCCTGGTATCACAATGAGCTTGTTACTAATGATAAAAATTCATCTCTCACCCTGTAAAGCACTTTCTGAATTAAAAATATTTATGATTAGTAATAGAAAATTCAGATATTTTGATAATTTGACTGTCTTGTGGTTAATATTGCTGTGCTGTTTATCTATTTTTTGTAGTTGTTACTTGTATACAAATTTTAAATTCTCTCAAAATGTGAGTTGATTAATTAAAAAGAGTAAATATGTGGTCAAATTAAGTTACGTTTCTTCTTTCCAGTGCTGCATGTAAACTAAAGATGAAAATGTATGATCGAGCATTAGAAGATTGTGATGAGGTATGTAAAATAAACAGATTTGCAGTAACATTTAACCTGGCGTAATTGTTTTGATAAATCATAAAATTTAGCTTTGTGTCTCAGTTGACTCCCGTAAGGGGTTCGCACGCAATTTGTATTGTATTTTCAATGCCGATTTTCATTGGTGTTTGATTTTAGTGAATAGCTTCATTTAGCACATGATGCAGTTAAAATACATCAGGAATACATGAATATAAATCAGAAGCAAGATTACTATCAATTTCGTGTCATTCTTTCAGCTAATATTGGTATTAATTTATTATTAGAATGAGGAACAAAAATTTGCTCATACTTTAGTGTGTCTCGCAGAGGCTTACAGAGTATCCAGGATAGGTATTTTTTCATGATCGTGTTTGAGCTAAGAGATTAATTGAGTAGTGTAGATTGATCTCCACTACCATGAGAGAGCATTTGTCCTGTAAAATATCCAGTTGTCTCTAGGCTTCTTTATACGTATCTTTATACGTGGCTGTTGTTCCTAGTGTTTCTTTTAGCTGATAACCCCCATGTGTTTCTTAAATTCTGTGCAACTGTAGTGAGTTTCATAATATTGCACCTCGAAATGTGCTGGAATTTCATATGGCAGTTGGTCAGATTTAGGTTGACTTTATTATCTCCAGATATGCACATGATCAGAATTGGTGAAACATTTGAAACTTGAATATTCAAGTTGTATCATACTTTTGCCCCACCAGTGGTTGAATGGTTAAGACGAGTAGATACTGGCAGTTTGAACCCAGGGAAACAGGCCTGATTGTGTCTCCCATGATTGTAAGTTAATTTCCCTTACAAATTCTTTCACAGAAGAATTCCTCCTCCTCTTAGGCAGATAACCCTCAGAGCTTTATCATATTCAAATAACTTGACCTAACCTGTATCATATTTTCTTACTTATGGTGTCTGTCCTTTTAGTCTATAAGTCTATTTTATAAGTCTCACAAAGACCATTAAAATAATATTGAAGTTAATTGTGTAATATCTTTTACCATGGCTTTGGTTAAAATAGCCATAGCAGTAAAAATGCATTTTCAGAGCTTAGCCAAGTTTCAAGAAAGTACTGTCCCAAAGTTTATTGTGTAATTTATTGTAGAAATTTTAATTTGTATGTTTTGATTTAAATAAGAAGGCTAGTAAACTTTTATTGCAACTCCAGGATGCCTATTCTAAGATTGCTGGATCCGTCTACAACTTGAGCGAACAATATTGACTCAAAAAAAAAAAAAAAAAAAAGTATGGCTAGCTGTTTTTAGCTTATCGGGGAAAACCATTCTCTGCTTGGGGTTGGTGGGCGGGTGGGTCCATTTGACTTTATTGAAATTGGGCAGGGCTTCAAGGAGCTTTAGACCAATCGCAGTACAGACGAGTGACAAAATTTATAGCACACGCTGCCTGAAGTTCTAGGAATATTCTCCCATTATTTCACTAACTCACATGCTGAATTTGTAGTTCAAAAAATTGGCAGAAAACAATATTATGACCAAAATGTAGCAGAATATGCTGCTGTGTTATGTGAAGGAAAATCTCATTTTTTAAGGGGAAAGTTAACACAGGAATTTAGGGCTAAGAAATAAAGAGAGATGTGGGATACTATGAAAGCAACGGTAAAAAGATAAGAGTAAATGAATTAAGCTTACTTCAAATCTTTTTAGAAATAAACAGTTTCAATTATTTAAATTTATAATATGATTAATTTGCGTTGCAATCTTTTTTTCATGTTTACATTAAAACTGTGTTTTCACGCAATTTATTTTATAGTTAATATTAGAAAAATATTTCTTTAAGTAAGAAATTAGAAAGAAGATATTTCTTTCTTTTATTTTCTGTTTCTATAAAAATTACTTTTTTGGGGAAAAGAAATAAAATTCATTCATTATTACAGTATGGCTGATTGCTGCTGCATTCAGCTGTCACACATGCATCAGAATAATTATTTTAATTATTATATTTATTTTAAATAATTCATTCTTTAATTAACATGGAAGAAAATAATTTTTCAATATAAAATATAAAACGAAAATAATAATAATCTATTCTGTATGTGTGATTAATTCGTATTGCAATTTTTGTCATACATATATTAGTAATCCTTTTTTTTTAATATTACACTGCTGTTATTTTATTTCTTATATATATATAATTTATCAAGCAAAGCAGTAATAACAATTTTTGAAAAACCAATTTTGGTCAAGAAAACATCTTGCGCAATATGCTGCAAAATAAGTAAAAAATAAAAATTGTAGAAAGCTCGCCTAAAAGTTACCAAGAGCTGCTGCTCCAAAAGGTTTAAGACGTTTTCAAAAATTAATACACATGAAAAGCAAATCATTAGACATGTAAAACATAAATACAATAAAATTAAAAAAACAGAAAAAGTTAAAAAGTAAGCGGAAAATGGTAAATTAGCCCAATTCGACATCCAAACAGGCTTTTCAAGGGAAATTTCATTTATTTGAACGTCGAATCAAGCTAACCCCATTACGCGTTTCGCCGAAACAGACAATTGAAACTTTTTCGCTAAAAAATTTTTTTTGACAAAGTGTCTTGGAAATTTTAATAGTCTCAATTCTCTGTTCCAATTTCCCGACGCGTCCGCTCAGAATGACACATTAAGGTGTTAAAATATGTTAATCAAAATCAAACTTTCTAAATCTAGTCTAAAATTAAAATCAAAACGAAAATAAATAGCGATGAGCTATTAGTCCTAAAAATACAAATACATTCGGGCTGGGCCTGCAAGCTTAAAGATTAACAATTTTATTTTAAAAAAAAAGATTTTATAAAACTGTAAGAAAACCTGTAGTTAATAATCAATATAAAAAATAAAAAAATGAGAAAAGAACAAACTCAGTGGGTCTTGCTAAGACCAAGAAAAAGTTGTAACAAAAGAAACAAAAAACTGACCTTTGACGATGTAAAGCTGTCCCTCTGAAAACATGCAGAAAAATGGCTGCTAACTTCTAGCGTCTTATTTTGGATGACGTACGTAGGGGGGAGCGAAGTGTTGTGGGCGTTTAGCCAATGCGAAGTGATTTTCGTTATCTGTAACTCGTCTCCTATTATCGGAGGGAGCCGGAAACCTCTGAAACCGTGTAAAGATCTCAAAAAATGGCGCTTGGCTTGTAGTAGGATGGAAAAAATTTTTTCGAAGTGAAAATGGCAAATTCAGCTAAAACTATAAAAACTTGGCCATTAAAGCATGAGAAAAAAGGAAAAAACAGTAATTTGTTAAAAAAAGTCGTAATTCTTCAAGCTAGCGGGCGATCAAGCTACTATGAAAAATGAAAAAAGCCCGATTTGTTAATAAAAGCAGTAAAATTGGCCACTAAAGAAATTTAAAGTGCCAAAATTTTTTTGGAGGAAAGAGAATGAATAAACAAGAATTTTCTGTACATTTTTACAATAGATTCTCTGAATTAGTCATCCTTCTTAAACCGTCCGTAGCTTTAGGTATAAAAAATCATTATCTAACTAAAAAAATCTATAATTAGGTAAGGTTAGTGCCAGCTTTGGTAAGGGAATTTTTAATTATTTTATGTGGTATTTGGTTACTTTTTAAAATAGTTACGAAGTATAGTATTTCTTCTTGTAAGTGTTCCGCAGTATTGCAAATTCTTTTCATTCTAAGTAGCTGTGAATAAATTGTGTTGATTATGACTCTTTTGGAAATATTTGAATTCCAGTTAGTGAGTTTAAGTGTGGAAAAATTAAATTCTCTTCTTTTATCGTAAACTTTAATAAAACGGTAATCAATAATATGTAAATCAAGGTAGACTACATCATGCTGTTCTGTATTGGTTTTATTAAGTTTTAAGCAAGCAGGGTAGATATTAGCGTTTTCTATTTTGTTGTAGTTATTAAATGCTATGACATCATCAATATATCTATAGATGTGTTGGAAAAAGAGACTTTCTTCCGTTCTGAGTGAACGTACATAGGTTAGTTCTTTAGTGAACAGGAATAATTCACAAACTGAAGTTGAAAAATTCCCGCCCATAGGTATTTCCCTGAACTTGTTTATAGATGTAATTGTCAAATTGAATAAAATTATTGAAGAGAACGCTGGTAAGGAATAGCTTGCCATTTTTCGTTGCTGAGAATGGTAGAAATTTGTGGAAATAAATCAGGAAGAGCAAGTAAACTTGTAAAAATTTCTTCGAGTGGTAGAGATGTATAAAGGTTTTCAAAGTCGTAGCATTGGATATGTTCTATTTGAAGTGAATTCAGAGTTTTAAGAACTTGTTCATTACTAGAGATCATCCAGTTGCAATGCAAACCTTTAAAATCATAGTTATTGATTAGTTCACGAATCATACGAAGTTTTTGCGCAAAGAGATAATCTATTTCTTTGAGATAACTTTTAGTACTATTAGCTATGAACCTGAATTTAATTGGAGACTTATGAAATTTCGGTAAGGCATAGAGATTTGCAAACCTGTTGTTATATTTCTGGGGTTGTATTTTAAGTCTTTTATGTAGTGCTTAAATTTATTTAGAAGAATCTGAGTACTGGAAGTTATTTTTTGGTAAGTGCAAGTGTTATTTAACTCTTTATGCAGAAGGTTGTAGTAGAAGTGTTGTCAAATAATACTAAAATTGTTGCTTGCTTTGTCAATCTTCGTGATGATAAAGTTATGTTGCAATTTTTGAATGAGATCCTCCAGGCATTTTTTATTGTGTAAAGAGTTGAAAGTAGGCGCCTTGAAAAGCAAAAACATTGAAATTCTTTGTAAGTGCAGCTTTCCATTCAAGAAAAGTTGTAGTGGGTAAATTGGATCTTGTACTAGCAATAATAATAAATTTATCTAGATCATTATTGAATTGTTTGAGGCAGACGTGTCTATTAAGACTGAAAGTAGGACGAAACTTGGTGCCAAGTTGCATAAGGTTACGTAATTCAGTATTTTCTACAATATTAAGATCTCCTGTGACTATATGTTAATGGAAAGGATCGACATATTTTTTGTAGACAGGCATTTGGC